TGTCCCATTTCTGGAAGCAACGATAGGCGCAAACGACATGAAATGCGCCTCATATCCAAACTTGGCACTGTTCACCCTTCTGGCATTAATGAACGCTTTTCTTATGTTTAATGCCATCATAGACTCTATGATGCCATCTGTCCTTGCCTGTCTGTAGCAGACATTGACAACATCGTTTTGTTTTGATTATTTTTTGTAGTAATTGTCTTAACTTCCTGTTTATTTTTATATTTTTAATTATATTATATTCTGTAATGCGATTTACATATTTTGTTTACACTTTGTTATGATTAAATCCATCTAATTGGTTTATTTTTTGTCACGTGATGTTTTCACACTCTTAGTATAAAAGTCCGTGCATTTTCCCCGATCCCTGCTACTAACTCTTGACGAAGGGCCTTCGCTCGAAACGTCGAGTTTCTGCTTATTTTTTAAGGTAGTAATATAACCACAGTTGCATCCCTATCAACTGAAGTTTTGTTAATTAACTTAGTGTCGACTAAAGGTGTGCAAATTCGTTCGGATTTCGGAACAAAAATGCTCATTTCGGATTGGATTGATAAAGTTGTTTCGTAGTCGGTTCGGACTTCGATATTCGAAATAAAATGAATGTATTATCCACGACAACGCGGTTGTCGCTGCATTATCGGTTTGATACTTCAATTGGACGTCACTTTGTCAGCTTCTTGACATGTATTTCTTGCTTTTATATCTATTTGGTTAAATATTTCCACTTGAATGAGAAATTTACTTTATTAAAGGATTCTTCGGATCGGAATTATTCTTTATCAAAACTCGGAACGGATTGGATTCGGATCAGACAATTTCGGATTGGATTTTAAACATTAGCCAATTGTCGGATTATTGCCGATCCGATGCACACCTCTAATAGTTACCAACTTTATAAGATCATTTGTAATAAAATTGTAATTGCCATTTTCATAAGTTTAAATCATTAAATAACCTCACTTCAGTATACGAATCGAATAATGTATTAATTCTCTTCAAAACTGTGCATAGCCAAAACACTACTGGTAGTAAGACAATTTAAGAACAATAATCTGGTGCTTTCTAGAGTAAGCACTAATTCGGATAAACGCCCGTTTTCTTTCCCAGCATTAAATGTTCTCTTTCCCAGCATTAAATGATTGGAAGTCTCTAGATATTGAAATACGCAGTACGTGCGTCTCAATACCCTTTGAATAATTTTACTCCAGGGGCAACTGACTGATTTAAATCAAGTTCATCTTCAGAAAATATCATGATTTTTTTTATCTCGTGCATTTTTAGGAAGCGATTTGCCACTCAATTTTACTCGATATTTTGAATGGGTGCATTACTTTACTTAAAACACAGCCCCCCGCCCCCATATATATTCAGGTGATTAATAATATGTTAATAGTGACTTGAGCTGATTTCAGGTAAATTAAATGAGCATTGATGGGCTAACGTGGAAGTTATAAGTGAAGACAAACTAAAAATGCAAAATCATTGAAATCACTAAAAATGCAATCAGTTGCATTTCCGAGCTTTCTGAGGAAACGATTTGCCCCGTATCCAATATGCTAATATCTTCTTTCGTATAAGAAACACCCGTTACTCGAATCATTGGCGAGGTTAGAGATCATGCCGAGCAGGAGTAATAATATTTTAAAGTTTTCCTCTAATTACACAATTTTGGTCGTTAATTGTTCTGTTTGCATGAATTTCACCATTGGACACATATTGATAACAGTAGATTACAGTAACCGTGATTACAGAAATGTTTATCCTCTGTAAAGATTTGAAAACAATACCTTGAAACCGCTGGAATTCAAAATTTCTGGGAGATACACATGACACCGGACTCCACTATAATATGCGGGTCTTAGAGCAGCTAGGACTAGTCAAGTTTCCTCAGTCTCGCCACTGACTTGAATGTACTCATGAAAAAACCACACTGAATTTCAAAACGTAATTTAAAATACCAGGTAATTTAATCACCACAGCCTACCCACCTAACGGGCTTAACTAGTTAACTAACAGACATTGTCAAATGGCAGGCACTAAAGCGAGGGAGTGAAAACAAAAACGAGTTAAGGCTGATTTCGAGTTAAGGCTGATTAAGAATGAGTTAAGGCTGATTAAGAACGAGTTAAGGCTGATTTCCACTGTTGCGTTTTTCATACGTACGTATATACGCACGTAAAACTTTAAATCCGTTTAAATGTTATTTATGAAATAACCAAATAAGTAAAGCAACAGAATTTAGTGTTCCGCAAGTTTTAGTATGCATTTGTTAACTTATTTGTAAAATATTTAAAAAATAGAAGGGTTCAAAGTTTTACGTGCGTACGAAAAACGCAACAGTGGAAATCAGCCTTAAGTCATATAATTGATCACGCGCAGTCACAAAAAGTTCAGTAAAGAAAGCTTTATATTAGTAACAAGAAGATTCGATCAAATCAAATGATTACAATCAAAATGCGATTACAATTAACATCCATGATACTCCAATAAATTAAGTACTCAATATTGTAGTGAATGCACCTTTTCGATAATTACGTCATGAATACGTTCTTAATTGTCCTCAGTTTCATGAATCGTGAGCCAATCGCATTCCGTCTTGATTCACGAGAGTGAGTTTCCCAGGCCAAAAACGTATTCATGACGTAATTATCGAAAAGGTGTATTAAATCAATTTATAAACTTGCTCAATTTAAACAACCAACTAAATTAGGAGAAAAAACATTACTTAGAAATGACTGAACAGGAGTTCATGATCGAAGGTATACTTCAAAACTCTTTAATGGTATGAAATGCGTATCATCTTACTGCAATTTCGACTGCGTACCTACATAACGCCAATAGTTTTGTGTAACATTTTGTTATCCGCTAGTTTTTTTGTAATGAAAAATAAGTTGTAAGCTAGACGCTCAGTTATTTTCTGGGGGCGGCTGTACGAAGGCCAGATAGCGCTCTCCAACGGATAGGCCATTGATTGGTATATAATCCAGATTAAACTTTTATATTCATATAAATAAAAATACTCATTAATTTCTTTAAGTTTAACTCATTTAATTCATAAACCTTGTGGCAAATCATGTCAGCGATAATATGTCACGTGGAGTGACTTTATGTCTGATAAAACTCATCTTCATTAGTATTCTTTATATAATTGCTCATCCTAATTAGTATGATTATTTAATTGTTCATCCTAATTAGTATTTTTTTGTAGTCGTATTTTAAGATATTCAAAACACTCGTTGTCGTGTTTTATCAGATATACTCCTACTCGTATCACTATCCGGTCACCGTATAACCGGTCCCAGGGCATGATAGCAAATATATATGCCAGGTTTCTGCAATCTGACCAATCAGTAGAAAAATTAATTCATGCCAACTTTTTTCGTTGAAAATTAGAACGTGTCTCACGTTACATGGTTGAAGCACCACTTATAGCGACGTGCACAGACAGGGCCGTGCCGAGCGATATCTGGTTGGGAGGGGGGGGGGGACTCAAAAATTTGGACCCCTTCTTTCGGGGGCCTTCTTCAAAAAAATTTTCCGCAAAGCAAACTTTTCCCGGGAAATGTTGGCGACAGAGGGGGCGGGGAGGACGGGTTTTTGCGAAAATAAACAGCGGTCTCAAAACTTTATTTCCAAACGTTATTTTGCGATAATGGGGGGTTAAAAATACTTTTTCAGACCTTTTCCGACCTCAAATTTTCAGAATATTCCTTAATATTTAACACGTTCCGCAATTCCAGCATTCCCCATTTCTTGACTTTTTTTTGGGGGGGGGGGGGGGGGCGTTACACGCCCTCCCCCACCTCCCTCCGGTCCTGTGCACAGGAGTCAATATTCTACAACCTGGAACAGGCCAGAACTGGGAAAAAATCTGGCCAAAACGACCGACCCGAACCAGGATACGCACTTATTAATAAGTGATAATGGTAAGAAGGTAATTTAATAAGTGATAATGGTAAGAAGGTAATGTTACTCATACTCACCAGTCGGACTGGCAGACTCCTTTAATTACATATTATGGGAAACCGTATAACATGAAATAATTTATTGTTCTGGGCATGCTTTTATCAGTTCCAGCCAGAAGTGCCATTTTAAAATATCCCGGTCCCTGCTGGAACATACTGACCTGAATCATCACTAACGATTCTTGGCATTCCATAGTCACTTTGAAATTGCATTTATTTTATTTTTATATCAGAAAACCATACCTCCCACATCGAGGAACTTGAAAGTTAACTGCCCTACCCCCTAAGTTGGATGTCCTAGAAGTAAACTCACTATTATCATAAACAAATTTTTCTTCCCTCCGGCATGTGAGGGGAGTGTTTCATTCCAGAAAATGCATCGTCTGCACAGTCTATTAGACTAGTATACAGAGTCACATTTTCATGACTACGACATTGGCTTAACAGCCTTTATGCTGTCACTGGTGAGTGACATGTTTATGAGATTGAAAAGTTTGAATAGATCTGATAAATGAGGCAAGATTTTTTTATTTATTGATATATAGACTTGACTTAAAAAAAACAGGTCGGTAGGTTGGAAAACAATTTAAACACGCTGAGGTCTGAGTGTAAATAAGAACCAAATTTAATAATCTCTATTAAATTAAGATCCCCCATTAATTTTTAGCTCAACAGGGTAAAACTTATAGAACATTCTAAAAATCTAGGCGGGGGGGGGGGTGCATTCAGGGGGAAGGGGTCACTCCTATAGAATATATGCATAATGGTATTTTGGTATGTGAAGGGTATATAGTTTTCAATTGACTTTTTGGCATATTGAAATTAGATTTTAAAATTTTGATTTTTTCCTCTGAAACAAGGCATGTTTATGCTTGCTTTCTCACTGAATTTTACATTGGTTGGAAAAATGGCAAGTGTTTCAATAGCATGATGGTTCATCCCCACCAAAATTTTCAGGAGTAATGCTCTCTTCTAGGTTATTATCAGTAAATCTTTGAACATAAATAAATCTTCATTTAAACGGCACTACAAATCAAGCAGTTTCTGTAGAAACAAGGCAGCATAGACAATGAAACCTATATTAGCAAACACCGGAGGGTTCAATGAAATTCCAGCACTGACTAATGTAAGAGCTACCTTAGAGGCTAATTCTCTGTTCAAGTCTCTTATATCACTATCAGGCCACAATGACATGCAATCTTTACCGTGCTCACCATCCGTGTATTCAAATGAGTGATCAAATATCTTGTTGCAAAACGAGACTGGATCTTTGTAGTAATCTTTAAAGCGCTTACAGGGCAACTTGCACTCATTACCTTTCTTACTCCACTTCCACGTTTCACCCCAATTGTCCGAACAGGTGTAGTCATCCTTGCAGGCCTCAAACCAGCCATCACATTCATCAGAACACAGTGGTATATTCATAACCCTCTCTGTCCTTGCTTTCTTAGGAACATTATCCTTCACAATCCAAGGTGCCAAGTTTGGAGAGCATGAATAGAAACATGTGTCCTTGATGAAATAGTCTTTGCATTTTTTCGACAGATTCCCACAGTGGTCCCATTTCATGTTAAACAATGATACACCCCCATCTTTCTTGATTGCATCAGTCGTGTTCTTTGTACAACATGCATGTCCACGCCATGGAACGCATTCTGTGATGTCCAACTCCGGTCCTGGTTTGCTTTTATGGTAGTTCGTTGCCACACATGTATCTAGGAAGTTAACGACCTTTTCACCAACTGCCGCATATTGGGCATGTGACTTCTGCACAATCCTTGCAACATTTTCGTTTGGGTTTTTGCCATCCTTACTTACATTAGGCCAAAGAGATAAGCAGTCTTCGCCAGCTTTTCCATGGGCATATTCAAATGTTCTGTCAAAAATATTGTTACAAAATGTTGACGAATCCTGAAAATACTCCTTGAAGGTTCTGCACTCCTTGATGCACTGGTTGCCTTGTTTCGTCCATTTCCAATTCTTACCCCAGTTATCAGAACATGTGAGGTCATCTCTGCATGCTTCAAACCAGGCATCACAGTCACTAGCACATAGTGGCACATTGATCACTCTTTCTTTGCGAGTTATCTTCGATCTCTTGTCCACAACAAGGAAAGGTCCGAGATTTGGCGAGCATTCGTAGAAACATGTGTCTTTTATAAACCAATCTCGACAAGCCTTCGACAGATTACGACTGCAGTGGTTCCATTTCATGTTGTATAAAGTGAACACTCCATCTTGTTTAATGCTTTGTGCTGTTTCATTGGTACAGCATGATCTTTCAGCCCATGGCGAGCAGTGATACTTCTTCAATCCGGCTCCCTCAGCTCCCGGGCTTTTCTTGTGATGCTTTCCATTGAGACAACGGTCTAAATTATCTGCAGTGCTTGTAGCACTCGGCATTTGTACTGCACACAATGTACAAAGTACAAGCAGTAAATGAGCTCGTACACGCTTCGTTTTGTCTCGAAAGCCGACCATATCCCCGATAAAAATTCAAGATACAATTCACACCGACCACAGTACGACGATTGTGCAAGAGACAACGTGCAGAGAAGATTAAATTTGATCTCTCCACAGATATCGCCACGAGGACTTTGATTACATAAATATTTTGGCTATTTGGTTTATGTGCAACCCCCTGGAGTATAAGGCATATATTGGAAATTCAGGGGGTATAACTGGAATTTGTGCGGAGACTGTCGCAGTGTCGCGTGTCATAGTATCCCGTGATATAATCCGGTAGCTCTCATCCGGTAGTGTGAAATGTTTCGCAATCTTGGGATAAAACGCGGATACGGACGGGCGGACAAAATGAATAAAATTAGCTTCTTCCCAAAAGAGATCACAGTGCATTCTGGGATCGTTTGGAGGGACAAAATATATGGTGCCAGGTGTCAAATATGTGAAAGAGTAGAAGTATCTACTATCAAATATCAACTTTTTAGACGATCAAAAATGAAATCCTTTTTACATTAAACATTTAATTTAAATGTGTGCTGCCATATTTCTTGTCCCTCCAACACTATTATTTCTATGCTCCAACATCATCCCAGTGAACTATATACATGGAAGGCTGACTCATTGAACTATAAATAAACTGGAAGGCTAACTCAGGGGGGGAAATTGAAGCCAGTGCATTTAAGTTTTTCTGAGTTATGAGCAGAAATACTCAACACTGAACGTTGGGCTATATATCAAATTGAAGCTATTGAAAAACGCTATTTGGTGTAGAAATTTCAAGATTTTAGCTAAAAGGGAAGTACTGTAAAATTACAAACATAATTACCGATAATTTGCCGTTTTGCAGTTGTTTTTGTATTTTTTAAATATTTTTCTTTTCGCTGAAGTCTTGAAATTTCCACACCGAATAGCAATTTTCAATAGCTTCAATTTGATATATAGCCGGACGTTAGGGGTCAAGTATTTCTGCTCATAACTCAGAAAAACTATTTTGGCTTCATCAAATCATAGGCCTTCATCATAGCAGTTAGCCTTCCAGTTTATTTATAGTTCAATGGGCTGACTTCAGTCATTGACGTAATCAAAAAGTGAAGCCAAAGATGGCGGATTTTGAAGCCATTCTTGCGCGTCATTCTCAGTCCCCTTACCCGCGCGGCCAAACAATTTTTGTATTTTCATGGCGGGAAGTGATGGGTCCGCGACTCTCGGGTTGTGTTTTTCTTCATTTTAGAAGAGCAAAAAAGGAAATAAACTTTATTTATTTCATGTAAACCTGATTTCCTTCATCTACTCGATCTGTCTACTGCATTTTCCCACTGTATGTGTGAGTAAATCTGTATTTTTCGTTGCGAATTCAACAACTAGTTTCAAACTTTTTTTGTTTTTTTTATATAAAATCTGTATTTTTATAAATTGGGAATTTATTTTTGCTTTGGTTGTTTTATTTTCTTGTTTCTATGGTGCTTTTCAGTTTTCACACCATTTAGCTTATTTTAGTCCGTTTTCCTGACCTAAAACTGCTTTTTAACTGCAGTTTTCGAGGCAGTTTTTAGCCAATTTAATTCCATACATGTAAGAAAATTTTGTTTTTTTTATTTTTTATTTAATGAAATCACTTTGATGTTTGCCTTATAAACTTAAATTGTTCATTTTAATGAGTTATTCATGTGTGTGAAACTCTTGTCGATAGGGGCAATAGAGATATTTTGAAAGATTGAGTGACTTTGTGTTTTGTTTTGTCCGAGGTTTTGTCACTCCTTGTCATTTTACAAAAACAGCAATCCCGCGCTATTTTGCTTTCTTTCCACTCAAATATCACATCTCCTAAACAAATAATAATTAAAATTTATAACCGAACCCAAACAAAATACCAGCATTCAACTTTTCATTCAAATTTCGTCTGTTTTTCACCAGATTTTTACTCGGAAAGTAAAGAAAAATATAAAGTTTTGTTGACCGCGCACGTAAGGGGACTGAGAATGACGCGCAAGAATGCCTTCAAATTCCGCCATGTTGGCTTCACTTTTTGAGCTCGAGTCAGACTTCCATGTTATATAGTTCAGTGGCTCTCTCCTCCGCAGAGGCTTTAGTTTTCTTAGGATTTAATATTACGATGAGATACATTTCACTACACTTTACATGGCGGATCTTGGAACACGAGCGTAACCGCTGGGCGAAGGAGCGCAGGCGGCAAAGGAAAAGGCGAAGGAAGGCGCGAAGCCTCTGCACGATTTGCATCGCAAAGTGGGACAAAGTGGGACAAAGTGTAAACATTGAAACAAAAGGTGATTTTTAAGCTAAACAAGAAAAGTCTTTTTGAAAATTAAATCATTATTTAATGCATGATTGATTGACCTCATTGACTAGTGCTTGCATGTTTGTGGATGGTCAAAAGTAATATTTTTTAACATTTAATACACAAAGCAAACAATCGTATATTTTACTCACCGCTTGGCCAAACATTCTGTATTTCGTATCGAGAAAAACTTGAATATTTCTTGAACTTTTCGGAATTCACCACCAGTCAAAGAAGTAAAATACTCCTTCTATTCAAGCGCTTTCGTGTAGAAAATTTCTTTTAAATACGGCCGGTAGAAATATTTCTTTTTAATTTTTCAAAATATCGGGTTTTTACTCGCACAGTCGCACGCGCCTGTCACACGCTGATGTTCGGGAATTAGGTCACAATCAGACCAGGAATGGAAATACCATAATAAAAGATGAAGTTTTCAAGATACAAGCTCAAAAATAACACTCTAAGTAGTGTTTTGAATTCGTTTTCGAACAAGAGTAATACAAAGAGGATGCGTCCCAAGGAGCCGAAGTTATGTTCGCCGAAAGGTATGCCTAGTTTATATTTTTATATATCAAGTGTAAACATTGCGTGATTTGATATTAATATACAAAATCCCGCTTGACTTTCAAAGGTCATAAATCGCTATAGTGTTGACATTTCACTAAAACTATCGATAGAAACTAGGAGATATTTTTGTACTGAATCGAACGGTGGTAATTTCATCTACATAGCGTATATTGAACCAAATATACGAACCTCCAAATAAATCAGGTCGAAACCGACTGAAGGTCGCGTTTGTTTATAAATATTGCTGAAGTTGAAATCGTTGAATTGTATTTTCAGTCTTGATAATAAATTTAATAATGGTTTTGTATGCTTACATACTCATTTTTTTCTTTTATGCGGTTTTGGACACATTTCTAAAAATACAAATGTCAAATATAAATTTAAATAAAAGTTTCTTCGCTTGCAACCAAAACCTGTTCGCTAAATACGTTGTTTCCGTGCATTGTTTTATACTGTACATGGAGACCTTGTCTAGAAAAAATGCAGATGTTTTCTCGCAAACTGAACATAACACTTTCTTATTTCGTAGATCTAGTAAATAATCTCTTTGTCAGCTTGTTGCAGTATTGTAAAGAGATATTTTCTCAGTCATTTTGACTTGAATTTTGCGTTTGATAATTATACGCCCCCCCCCGGTTTACCGCCATATTGGGTGTGGCATCGTGCAGAGGCTTCGCGCCTTCATAGCCAATTAAAGCCTCTGCGGAGGAGAGAGGTTCAGTGGTCAGACTTCCATGTTATATAGTTCAGTGCATCATCCTCGTCCCCAGGGCCCCTCGGCCGCGCGCGTCCTCCCTAGGCCCTGAGACACGCGGAACCGGAAGTGCAAGAAAACTTGCAGTAGTTTCTAAATACATGTTCTTGAATTGTGACGCTTTAGCACCCGTAACAATTTTCACAGTGAAGTATTGCGAAGAAACGAGTATTTGTGTTGACAGAATAATTTTGCCTAGCGAAAACTGCTCAACTTCTGCGAAATAGCCATCCTCGGTCCCAGGGCCTCACGGCTGACACTGCAGTCAGCCGTGAGGCCCTGGGACCGAGGATGCGAAATAGCAGTCTCTAAGAAACCAATTCGTCCAAACCAGAGCCTAATTTTCAGCGAGTGACCGAGTAAAAATGGTTATGGGGATGAGAATGCTCCAACCAGGGCGCTTATATTATATAAGCGCCCTGGCTCCAACATGGGATTTGCGCGACTAGACCCAGGACATTGGGGAATGGCTATTACGGCATTCTCGTACCCAGAGCCCTTCTTACGCGCGGTGCGACGAGGGGCTCTGGCCAAATCCATAACCGGATACCATAAAAACATGGTAAGAAAACAATGTCCGGTGTTAGAACTAGCCAATCATGTGCCAGTTCGGAATATGGATTTGGCCAGAGCCACTCGTCGCACCGCGCGTAAGAAGGGCTCTGGGTACGAGAATGGCTATTACGGATGACGGACAAAAAATAAAATGCGGATGGCGTAATGAAATGCATAATAAATTAGTTTGAATTGTTTAATTTAATGATCTAATAAAACATTAAGTTTTTACTGCTTCCCTAGTCACCAGATTAGCTTACCCTAGGTTAACCTGCAATTCAAAGCAAACTTCCCAACAGCTTGCTTATAAATTTGGAAATATTTCTTTCGGAAATCTAGCCTGAATCAGCATAGGCGTACCGGGCGGGGGGGGGGGGGCGGTAGCCCCCAGTTTTTTGGGCAGTCGGGCAAAATTCGATCAACAGTCGGGCAATTTTGGTTTGTAATAAAAATAAATGGGACAAATTCTGTCAATTTAGTAGGAAATTCAGTCGATTTTGTGGTCATTACTGTGTTCTTTGGAAAATTTGTATGATGTTCCGAATTTGTATGAAAATTTGTATGAAGTTTTTCGGTACTAGTCGGGCAAAATCCGGAAAAGTCAGGTAAATTTCTTTCAGCCCCCCTAATTTTTTCCTTCCGGTACGCCCATGTGAATCAGCATGAGTTTTCTTCTCTGAAATTTTGAAATAAACAGAAGTACATATACCGATGGAAAATCGTTTACCATACATATACCATTGCCACGTTGACTATTGTATTGTATGCTGTGCTTTTCTCGTATTATTATGTTACATGCATTATTGCATTCTAGTTGTTTTCAGACAGAAATCAACACCGAGAAGGTATTTCACCAAAGTGAGAAAAAACCCAACATAATTGTCTATGACCTTGCTGGCGTTTAGTTGAGTGTGGATATCTAAACAAAAGCAAGATTATCATGCAATTAAAATTGCCAATCCCTCCGAAATTTAATTACCGGCTAGTCTATGATTAAATTAAGCCGGTTTGCCACTTCAAGCGTACCGTTACTACCGTACCGAAACGTAACGTATCAAAAACGTTTTTAAATTTTAAAATTTCGTGAACGTTGATTGGTTAATAGTACTTCCGTAGTACGCCAAAATTTGACTTGCGACGAACTTTTTATTTTGATACGCGAATACATGGCACCCGGAAGTACGTGGATATATAAACCTCTTTTCAATCTGCGCATGCTCACCAGTACATTTCGGTACGATACGGGCGAAGTGGAAAACCGGCTTTAGTCCTTGTATTTTCGGATAGTTGTATCCTTTCTACCCACACTGGCACAGACTGGAATAACGAATTATGTTAGGGCAATGATAAAGAGAAACGGTTATGAAAGCGAAACCAGCACGAAGCTCGCTCACACTCAATGAGTGGAGGTTCAATCTGAGCTTCTCTTGAGTGTCAATTCTGTTTTTGAATAGCTAGAGGGTGAGTAGTCACATAGTAAGGTACGACACTAATCCTCTACTGGCTCCGTCTAGCTATTCAAAAAAGCAATGGCACTCGAGAGAGCTCAGATTGAACACGCAATTCCAGTCATCGCACGAAGCTCCTCGCTGCGAATGCATGCATGAGTACTTTCATCCAATCACAATGCTTAGGAGTTAATTTTAATTAGCCTACTGCAAGCACTCGCAGCGAGCTGTGAGGAGTTTCGTGCGAGGACTGGAATTGCGCCTTAAGGCTACAAAAATTGACTATGCTTTTCGGATTCATATTTTGGAGTTGTCGACATTTCAAATATGCTTTAACGTTGCTGATAGATTTCGACCACACGACAAGGGAAACAATATGTAGTGCAGTCGTAAACTGCTATTATGGGTTTTAACGTAATTTTGTATCATCAAGCTCCGTCAAAGTTATTACTTTTTATTTTAATGTTTTCATTAGACAAACTATTTTATTGTGCATTTCGTTGCGCTATCCGCAATTATTCATTTTGTGTCCCATTCGCATTTTATTCTTTTGTCGGTCCGTCCGTATCCGCGTTTTATCTGAACACCACGTTGGCAAGGGAAAATTTCGAAGGGAACATAGGAACGCAGACCTCCCTGGGAGACCATTGACGAAATCAGGAATGAAAACATGAAAAAATCAGGAATGTCACGATTGTGTGAATTCTAGCTGAACAAAATGAGAAATGTTTTTTCATCTTCCAAATTACTTGATACTTTTAATATCATCAATTTTGTTGTCTAATTTGTTATCGCGCTCCGAAAGTCAAAACAGAGGAAACGGATACTATAATTATTGTCTACATAAAGGTCAAGTTCTTGCATGCAATTGATGATAAATGAATATCTTGGCAATATTGAATATTCTTCTATAAAAGGACGTTTTAACCTGCAATGGTTTGCTATTAATCACCTGCCAGTGGTGTAGATGTAAAATTTTAACAAGGGGATCGGGCTCAGGATTGCTGACTACTGTATCAGCCAAATATTATCATCATAACCCTTTGTTTTCTTTGTTCGAAAGGGCCGTTTGTAACAGTGCTTGGTTATTTATTCAGCAATCAGGCAATCCTGGTCGGGCTCATCTAGGACTAGGGAGACCTTACACGAGGCATGAACCACCAGAATTTTCTTTTATTCTTGGATCCATCTTAAGATTAAGCACGATCTATTAGTTAATATTCTGTACATGCATGTATTTGAATTAAAACAATGTGCGCAACATAAGCAAACCAGTCTATTTCAGAGTGTGTACAAACATGAGCAAACCGAATTCGATTCATTACAATGGATTGCAATTTTTCCTGTCTTTTTGTATGTGAATCTCATAGGCTATCTAGGCCAAAGAAAAACTATTCAGTGCTTGCGGTTACGTCAGTTAGGTGTTCAAGTTACGGTGGGGTCGGAAAATAAGATACTTGCTTGACATTGGCTAGCAATGTCACGAGTGTTATCAGTTGGCACTGCCATAACACCTAGATATTTCAAGCATCAACTATCTCCGCGGCGTTATATTCATTTCAATTCATTTCTATCTATTAGACAGATTTAGATCGAGGACGCGGACGTCAAAGACGACGTGAAAATGGTGTGTTGTGCCCATGTATGGATATGCCACGCCATTTTCACGTCGTCACTGATGTCCCCGTCCTCGATCTAAATCTGTCTAACGGTAGATGGACAACGAACGTCATTTTAGCGTCACGCTGTATCATAAAGTGAGCAATGAAAGAAATAGGTTCCAATCTGGACCATATACGAACATATAGGTTAACATGAAAACATTAATGTTATACACATTTAACATTCTAGGAATAGTAGAGTTGTAAGATTTGCCAGTTATAATTAAGGGAAAAGGATTAGAGTCCAAAGGAGTTACAAACAAGGTTTGTACAAATAAAGGGTTAGTTCAAGATTAAAATCGAGTTTGCCGTTTGAAAGTTTTACAAGAGTAGATATAGTTTGATATTTTGGAAAAATCCTGGATTTTTCAACAATTTCCATAAGATTGGATTTTTCAACAATTTCCATACGTTGAAACTCTTGAATTTACGGCAAATTCGACAGCGGATATCTAGTCACGTGATCACTAGCGATTGAGGTATTCGTAAAAGCTAATTTGTACGTCAATCCTATAAGGACTCTGATCTATCAAGAGAACATAAACTGCACATCACTATTTACACATTCGAAATCATGCATTTATTTTCTTCATATGTACAGGGAAGTATATTAATATCATTCTAGCGCTATAATCTACAGAATCAGTCTCACTTATAATTCAAAAGTCACAATTTATGTACCAACAACCTAATACTACACAAAAATACATACAATATATAGAATGAAATTGAAACACAGACAGCAGGAAACCAAGTTTACGCTCGTAAAAACGCACAACCTGTTCCCGGTTGATATTGACAGGCGTGAACACGCTTGCATGTGCTGCACCCCTATAAGAACAAGTCGTCAACAACATTGTTACATCATTGTTCAGTTGTAACAACATTATTCACAACTTGTTCATAGGGTGCACCATAACCTTTGTTCACACGTGTCGACATCAATCGGGAACAGGTTGGGCGGGTTTTACCATTACTAAGAACATAATCGTAAGTGATTTCCAGGCTGCAAACAATCCCACTTACCACCTTTTCCCTTATGTTTACATATATCCAACATTTTACAATGAAACAAATTTGTATATCAGATTACATTAAAAATAACACGACCGTTTAACCGTATTTTAACGGGCGTATGTTTCCTATGCCATGTTTTACAAACGAGTCTTGGGAGAACCAAATTAGACCCCAGAAAAACTTGCCACACCACCAAGCCCATTTCAGGTAGGGCTTGGAATTAGTCGAATTCTAAGTCTATTTTACATGCTCAATCTAGCTTGACATCGAAAAACCATTATATGCATGGTTTCCTAATCAAACATAGTAGGGTATTTGACACGATAAAACGATCTATACAACCTCAAATACGTAAACGAACCTCGAACTTCAACAGGGGCCGGTTGTTCAAACCACGATTATGGTCATTAGCGTTAACCCTGGTTAGAATTTAACCTGCAGTTTTGGCTTCTGCATTTCTGCACGTCCTCAAAAATTAGAATAAACCATTAATCCAGACCACAGGATTTACAAAAAAATTTCCAAGCTGTTGGAAAGTTTGCTTTGACGTTTTATAGGCTAACCTAGGACTAAGCTTGCTAGCAGGCTTTCCAACAACCGGCCCATGCAGGTGCTCCTCTGGAGTCGTCAATAGAATAATGTAAGTTCGAAATGTCCAAGTTGGTTATCAAAATCTATCTTAATAATGAAATCATCTTCGTCTACAAATTGTTCAACCATTCGATCGTCCATGTTCACCAAGATACTAAGTAAAATAATTATATAAACAAATATGAGAAAACGAATATTGAAATAACTATGTTGTATTGTATACTTTTACGCAGAGAGCTACTCCTGTTCTTACACAACAGAGAGCTTTAGACTGGACAAGTACGAGTACGACGAGATTCGTTTATTTGGATACGCCATATTCTTACGGCAACATACTGACGTCTTATAAATCTCGTAGCCATGGCCAAATTGACAACAGGATTTTTGAAAAGTCTTGCAGTAAAACAAGCACGTACTATACGAGATTGCGCGCGCATGCGTACGTAATAGCGTAAGAAGATGCAAACAATGATCTCGTACACGTTCTCGTAGTACACTCTAACGCTCTCTATAATGTCAAAAGTACGATGACGGCATTCGTTCTACCCTGTGACAACGTGAGATTGCCGCGACACACCCACGGAGCTGGAACGATTCCCTGTTTGACTTTGGTACTCCAGTTGGCGTCACGTAATCGTAAGGTCTAATAATTTGGCCTTAACAATTAATTGACCCACAATTGCCATTCTTTACTAAGTAAGATGTACATTGGAGAGCATTTTTACAGACGTGACTTACCCCTTCTTAGTTTTCTTGTACACAGCCTTTATCATTTCCGGTGGAATATCATACTTCTGTGCAACCTGGTAAGTATGAATATTATACTTAGTTTTTTACCCCCAAGCAACCATGACTGTGGTATCTTCTAATAAAAAGGGCCATCTGAAATTCCAAATTACGCTATATTGTGTTACCATTTCCATTTACAACAATTAAACGTTTTCTATCCAATAGTTCTTACAAATAAGAATTATGAAGGAGTTCACGTTACTCAAGACTTAATTGTCTAATAAATTCATTTGGTTGTCGAATCAGACATAATCATATAACAGACACAATCTATAAAACATAATCATGCGCATGCGTGGATATTTCAATTTTTACATGAACTCTCGTAATTACACTTGGTTATTTGGAACAAGCAAATTCAAAATAAATCCGAGTGATTTGTTTCTTTTCAAAACAAAATGAAAAGAACACTCCAACCTCTATTTCTACCGAGTGAGCTGCCCAATAGGCAATTCCAGCTTTTAGTTTATGCGTGCAGGGGACGATGGGAAGTAAGGTATCATATTGCTGATTATGCTGAAAAAATAGAAATGGTGGCCGTGTAAACACGGAGTGATAGCTTATACTTGTAAATATTGAAATATTTCGGTTGTTTCGGTAGTTTTTATTGAAAATTTTCAGCATAATCAGCACTATGATACCTTACTTCCCATCATCCCCTGCAGGCATAAACTAAAAGCTGGAATTGCCTATTCCTGATATTTACGTAACCATGAACCATACACTGGCAACATCTTATTATATTATATATGCATGCATCTTGTGTTCAAAGCTCGTTAACTGGACTCTGTAGCTCAGTTGGTTAGAGCGCTGCACCGTAATCGCAAGGCCACAGGGTCGCTTCCTGCCAGAGGGACTACAGTTGCATTTTTCGCAGCTGCTCCTGGTCAAGTCTAAAAATGTATGCAATTTACACTCGAAACTTCCGTTTACAACAAAAACGAAAAATTATCAATAATATATTTGACCTGTCAATAAGAAAGATATTCTATTAATTAAGAGCCCTGATAAATTTCAGTGTTTTATAAATCCATAATATTTATAGAGAAACATCTACCATGGAGATAAGTCTGAATCATATATAATTACTTACTGATTCACGAAGATCGACCACAGCAAAAGAATCTAACATTAATGCATTGTAAACTTTTTCTTCTTCCTTCTTGACATATATAGTAACAGCTAACAAACAATAGAACGCAATTTAAATTATTCATATTATTGTATATAGAAGCATTGCTTTTCTAATTCATTAGGTGTGTCTTGCAATTTACAAATAAATTTACTCGGTCTATAACTTAGAGCATTTCAAATTTAGAGGCCCAATTATCGTTCCTGTGACGTAGATGCAACCATTTCGGGCCATGAGCTTGGTTTTTGGAATAGAGAACATTCTTTGTTTGGGGAATATGGAATTTGTTTGCTTGTCAACGGGAATTAATAATTTTTTCAAGATGCGGTGTGGAATACTGCAGAATTATCCATATCATGCATTTTTAACAACTTAATGAGGAATTTCAAGAATGGAAATTTTAAGCTTCAATATTACGTCTCATTCCCCCGAAACCTTCATTGTTGAAACTCACACGAGCCTGACATAAAAAAGCAAAGGATTTCAACGCTTTAAAATCTCATTATAAAGGACTTTATATACATCGTCAGACTAGAGTTTATGAGATCTCTACATCATTCAGAATATCTGGGATGCTGCATGTTGAAAGTCCACAGATGGGCGTTTTCGCGACTCCTGAAGCAACTACACCACCAATAATAATACCTAAGTTACATTACCTGGTTGTGGAGGCCTTGCAACTTTCTGAGCTTTGTTTCGAGGTATAAACTCAAGATCAGCAAGTTCATCCTAAATAACATATTTTAGTCAACAGGGTTTACTACAACTGAACGAATTATGGGATAAACATCATATTCATAATATAAAAGCGTCCTCCTCCCCTAGAGTTTCTATGTTTCCCACAACAAAACCGAGTTTCTTCCAAAAATGAGTCCATTGTTATCAACATGACGAATAGTCATGACGATCGCTTACTAGCTCTTTTTGTATTTGCTAACTACTGATGGGGCTTCTCCTTTTTCTCTTAATACCACACTAATCTATAACATACTGACATTATAATACTAATTTATTTTTTATTGCGCTTCTTCTTCACTTCCCTCTTCCTTCCAAAATTTTCTTTTTCTTTTGGCTGACCGTAACATTTTCTGGGACCAATGGTCCGCTATCCCTTGCCTCCCTGCTATTTTGTTAGGGACATCAAATGTCACAATGACATTTGATAAAATACATTTTAATTCTAAAATACATTATACTTGAAAGTACATGAATCTTACATTGGCAATATCCAAGGAAGCTTTCAATCGTCTTTTGTTCTCATTTTCTCTACAGAAAAATCGAGGCTTTTTATATACTTATGCAAGGTAAAAGACATCTTGGTGTAAGAACAGACATAAGTTAATAGCATAAAATTTGGCACAAATACAAAATAACACATTGTAAACAATATTGGATGTGGGGTCCACGGAAATATTTCCCATGATACACCAGATAAAAATCATTTTGATGTTATTTTGATAAAAATAAGATATTTATGTGAGTATATAGTACGATTTTCTGATTCCATTTCGAGTTATAAAGGTTCAAAGGTTTGACCTTCCATGCACAAATCAAAATCGAGTTAGAAAATCGTACTCACCAAATTGTCTTATATACTGAATATTTTGCATTCTTTCTAACGGTGTGAATCACGTTTATTAATTTCATTATTTAGAACATACTGTACTTTTATAGGTAAACTAGAAATAGCTAAATTTTCCCGGGCGTATAGGAAAGATTTAATTCTGTTGGGACCCAGTGAGTTTCTCTATGTCACGGGAGATTGCGAGTTAAGAACTGTAGGGAGCCACTTTAACTGGATACACAACGTTTATTGCAAGATTTTTCAAATAAGGTTGCATCCCACTTACTTGACAGCATGAAGAAATGTGGCACTCTGTAAAGCTGTTTCGTTGATATGGAAACACTAAAATGCAAACCAATAAATGAGACACGTGGATTATGGATGTGAAAAGATTAACAATGAAAATGATATTCGGATAAAAGTGATTTTACAAAAAATAGTTTCATGAGTTTACGTTTCGTTGTTTCTTGAAGCTTTAACCGTTAAATTTAGTCAACAGAACTTTAGTTGTTATTATTATTATTATTATTATTATTATTATTATTATTATTATTATTATTATTATTATCAGTCAGTTCGCTAGGGGTGTTTGACAAAGAATGCCATACATTCGTAAAAATGCTAAATGAGTTAGGACTGGATAATCAACACCAACAATATTGTATCAGAAAAATGATATCTATTGCCATCCGATCAACGTACTACATATTTTGCTGTAGAAATAAAGAATGGACAAATCCCGAACTAATGAACATTTAAAGTAACTATTTCTATAAATAATTAACAATTTTTGTATATAAAACTATAACCCCGTATAAGTGATTCAAGTAGTCAATTGTAGGTTACCTCAAGAAGTGAGATTTACAATTGTATATATCTATAAATGTTCTATTAATAAAGTTTTCATTATTATTATTATTATTATTATTATTATTATTATTATTATTATATATATATATATATATATATATATATATATATGTGATTAATGATGATAAATTAATGTATTTCTAGTACACAGGGTCAGGGTGTCCCAAAAAATTCAATATAGGTGCGTTCCTGATTTTTACATAACTAATTATAAGTAGGCCTCAAAAAATTCAATCTAGGAGATGAATCAAATATCCAATACAGCGGTATTATAAGGCGTTCTGACAGACTTAATATATTATAACAATTGTTAGTCTTCTAAATAAGTACACTCTAAACAAATGTGGCCTGTTTGGCTGTTTAATGCAGTCTTGGACATCGTTTTCGTATGTACTTGAGATTTACATATTAATGTCTGTATATGACTGCATGACTATGATGCTAAATCTTCCGTTTCAGCAACATTAAGGCGCTTACTCTGACGATCACGATAAGAGGGAGGGATAAAAATGTGTACATTGAGATTTGTTAAAACCTTATTGGTTTAAATTCTTTCATGTGTCACGTGACTTATATAGCTTCAGCAGTACAAGTAGTTATGTTTTAAGCGAGTATACGCAAACCACCTTTGTTCCAGAATTCGTCAACTTTCACGTGGTTCGTGTCACAATTACTGCAGAAGAATGGCAAACATTATCTTACTGAGTTTTGTTCTTTTTGTTTCGACGGCTAAACTTACCGAGGTAATCTGCTGTGATTTGATAAAATCACAAGTGGTGAAGAAGATTGAAGCAAACAAGACTCTATGTGCTCCTGGAAATACTCTTCCTGCAAACTGTTGCAAGGATATTGCAAATGAGGTTGAAAAACATGTTTCGGCATATAAAACATTGTGCTGGAACAGAACGACAGGTAAAATAGAAGGTATATGGAAGTAATTCAGCTTAATTTGTGTTGCACAAATAATTCAACGCAAAACTAATTATCCCTTACTGCTGTAGGTATACCTTACTGAGGAAAATAACACATTTCTAACCATAGAACGATGTCTCTTTTGTGAAAATAGAGAGTTTGGCAAATACAGTACAACGGCAACGAGCTCATCAACAATATCATCATTACTCTAAGACAAAGGTTACTATAATTTGCATCCCTTAAGCATTCCTAATACGCCGTAGTTGTTCAAACTGCTATGTTATTTACATCGTTTTCACGGCTCATGACAACGCCAACAAAACGTTTAAGTCGTGGGGGATTGTGTGAATTCACTTACTATTGCAACTTCAGGGAATTTCAAGGTTGGTTAAAAGAAAGATAAGTGAAAACTCAGCCCCCCTCCCGTATCTACGGCCCTGTGGTGGGAAAGTTGCTCATTACGATCTTAGCAAATCCTCTTCAAGAAAAATTGTTTCGTTTATCTAAAATTTGAAATCTATAAATAGAAACGGGGGAAATTCGAATAATTTTTGTCATTTATTTTGATTTTTCAGCCACATTGAAACAATGTCGAGGCCCGAAAGCGTTAGGAATGCAGAGTGGCAAAATACCGGATAATGCATTCACCGCGTCGTCTTATTATGGTGGGAATTACAAACCCTGGTACGGAAGATTGAACACGAACAATGGCCACTGTGCTTGGACATCAACGTTCAAAGGGACAAGAAACTCATGGTTTCAAGTTGACTTAGGACAACTAACCATTGTGACAGGAATAGCAACCCAGGGAAGCTGTGTGGCTAACGAATGGGCGATGTCGTATGTGGTTTCATTCAGCACTGATGGAAAGAAATGGACATATTATCAAGAGTCGGGAAAGAAAATGGTGAGTCAGCGGATAAACTAAACGTCCTGTGTTTTGAAAGAACGGAAAATTATTGCAGTAAGCGTTTCCCAAGACAGCGTCACAACATTGTTATTGGCCTTTTATTGACGGTATTGGTCAGAACATTTTTCGAATTGGGTTAAAATGCATTTTGTTTTGCTATGATGTTTATTATGTCGTGGAGTGGGGGAGGGGGGGGGCACTTGCGCTCCCAAGTTTTCTTCACAGTGCCCATTTTCTAAGTCTAACAATATGGGAACAGTGCCTTTTGTAATGCAAGAACGGCCCTAGTTCAAGATGACGTGCCTTCCAACTATAGTCTATATGCGTATACGCGTTATTCTGACGTCATGATAATCTGTTTAATAGCTGCAGGTGGAATGATTTCCCATGCGGGTCATGATTAAGCAGGTTGATCAAAATCTTTACTACTAGAACAATCAATAATCTTGCAACCCATGAAAGTCAACATCTCAATTGGCTGTATTATGAGAAAGGGTCATGACATGCTGCATCACGGTGTTTCTAGATATATCTTAAAGGTCAATAGATTCTCAGTTCCTCATAATTACTACGTATTAGGGCGTAGATCACTTTCCTACGCCGAATAATATTCTTATTTTTAAATTTAGACTTTCCAAGCTAACAGAGACAGAACATCGATTGTTACCCAATCATTTCGAAGTCCTATTCAAGCACGATACATGCGCGTATGGCCACAATCTTGGAGCAATTATCCTGCAATTAGAGTCGAATATTATGGTTGCCGTCAATAAAACACCTACAGGAATGTAACTCGCATCAAATTGTATTGTTATTTTTTTTGTTTACCAATTGAACATTTAATAGATTTGGAAAATAATGTGCATGTATAGTGGTAATAAATGTTTTAGCTTGATCAAATAAATTGTTGATGCTATACATTTTCTCCACTGACACTCATGCATAAGGATGTTTGCTAAATCCCATAACCAATCAATTATATTGGCTTTGCACTAAAAATACAAGCTGCACATGAGGAAAAAATACAGTAAATCACTCATTTCGCCCCCAAGAGACAATCCATGAGACACGGCAAAATATTCGAGTATACATGTAGTTGGTCTCCTCCGCAGACGTTCTTATTGCTCCAACCCTCGCTAACGAACGTCTGCTGAACTGAGCTGCACATTCCATTCCTTTGTTTCAGGCGCCAATGTATAATGGTTGTTTAAAGTAAGGGACCCATCGAATCTTATACAGATCATAAAAAAGCCATAACATTACAATTTATAGTTACACCAATGTTTATGCTACACCAATTTTAATAATCTAAGTGTGAAAATTCATCTCTTATAGATTGCATGTTTGATGCCCACTAATAATTTGCTGCGTAAAAATATGGAACACAGCTATATTCACCTTTTTGGGACATCCTGTATATTAGAAATTAGTTAATGCTGCACTATGTTTTGAAACACGGTATACAAATCGTATAGTCGATATATAGAGATATGAAACTTGGTCAACGCGCACAGTTCAAATATCCCAAAGAGTGATATTAATCGTTCTGACAGACTTTATCATAATAAATATATATAACATTGATTGACCTCTGTTGTTGTGCAACAGAATATATATCAATAAATATGCAAGATACGTTTCTTTCATATTATTGTGCCAAAATATATTAATAAACATACAACACAACATCCTGCAACAACCTTCCGAAAGCCACGACGAGCTGGAGTAAACTTCAAAGGACTTGGACAATTCTCGTTCAATTTAAGACCCTAATTAAGTACGTAGTTTTTACGTAGTTATGGAATGCATGCTTGATATACCAAATATATGGGTAAATAGTTCAGTTGGTAAATAGATGTGCACTGTCCTTCTACGTCATATTATTTGGAGCAAGATATCTTTTCATCATGAGGGGTTCTTATGTCTGCTTTATAAACTGCGTTGCTAATAATTCTCATCCAGTGGGCATTGACTAGTTTTCCTGCATGCAGTAGCATGCATGCATTAGCTGGGCTTCGGTATACTGCATGTATATAGGGGTTTTTGTTAGAAGGTGGTGGATGTGACGCGATATGTTATACTTTTTAGCTACACTGTCCATGCACGAGTAACTAACTTTGACAGTGTTCCGATTAAAGATCTTGCTGGAGTGGATTTTTGGTTGGAAAATGCTTGTTGATAAGTGAAGGAATTGTCCAGTAACAATTGTTCTTACTATCTTGCTGAAGGGAAAATTAAACCATATGATGTTTCTACCTACGGCGTCTTCTATTATTTGTAAAGATGATTAACTGATGGAATTACCAGTCGAAACAATACTGCAACGTGACATCATAGTTATTGTGTCAGAGTGCATCCTGGTAGAGAGGTGCGGCAGAAACAAAAGATGATTGATTCATAAGGAGATACAGGAATATGTTTGATTATGAAAGGTGGGTGATTAGAATTGATATTTATAGAGAGGTTAAGATACCCCGGTTCCAGTTTACGGGTACTAGTATCGCCATTTTGTTTACCAACTTTTGCTGACGTCAGCATTTTTACCCGTAATTTCTACCCGTTTCCCCGCGGTAAACCATGGTCTACACGTAAAAGACAAACGGGTACGGGTGTTTTCTGTTTACTATTTGTGGGTCGTTTAAATAGTAAAAAATTTCAACATCTTACCCAAAAAAATAATGCACATATGCTCGTCAATGTTTTCAACAATTTATGGCGAACCTCAAAAGCGAAAGTTACCATTTTCTGATCGGTTTTCTTACATTTATGCCGGAGTATCTTGCATTTCTTAAGTTACACGTTATTCCCCGATTTACGGGTACGTGTATATTACCCGTACCCGTAAACCGGGGTATCTTAACCTCTCTATTGATGTAAAGTGGCTCGTTGTACCACAGTCAAGATATCGCAGCCAACCAGATTACAGGAAATAAAAATAAATATCACTAGCTGTGCACATTTTTAAAAAAGTAATTTAATATCTTCCCCATATCTGTTTATGGTGAATTTAAGCTGTTGAGCATGTGCTCATGACTCATGTGTATGCTCGAGCGCTTTTTCCCAGATACTCATTTGTGAGTATATAGCTATGAGTATATAGCAAGTTAGAAACCGAGCATTCCAGTGAAAACCTGTCACGCACATGTATTCCTCTGCCTTACTACCTCCTTCTCAAATGACATAAATACCTCAAAATATATAAATACTAATGAATCCACCTCAAATTTTGTGACAAATTTTGTTTTGTCCCGTTAATGAAAATAAATAGCCTGTTCGTTCGTTTCGTCCTTAGATGCAGGTCAACAAATCGGAAATATCCTAGTATTTCCCGCGCGAATATAATTCTCTTTGATTTGATCTCAATTATCCCAGCATCCATTGCACAAATTACGTCATTATAATATAGGCTTTCCAAAAGGAAATACTGTAATCAACAATTTCAAGCCATCCATAATCTGATTGTCATGCATAATTTTCACAAGACTCATCGTGTGGGGTAAAGGTTGAGCCTTCATTTCAAGCCGCGATTGGCTTCAAAATAAACTCAGGGTACGATTATTTGTGTACTCACTGTACGTGCCGGAGGCACAGACTAGTACGTAAGTGTAAGGCCCGTTTACACTACGCTCAATTTTGGTACCCGTACCATCATTTTTTATCCGTGTTCTGACTATCTATTTAGAAAGGCCAAGCACGGATACATTTGGTAGGGTACCACTTTTATCCGTGCCGTCAAAATATGAGCGTATAGTGTAAACGTGGCTGTAGTAGACTTGCTACAAGTCGACTCGTATAGCTGCGGGTTTGAGCTGAAATTTCTTCAAGTGCGGATTTGAGTATGATAAGGGGTTTCGTCAAGCTCGCGCTCCTGGTTAGGGCTAATAGTGTATAGAAACCTTCGTTCGAAAATTCCATCTATACAAAACCCATCGACCATTACTGTAGTTCTATCAAAAGAGATGCACGAATCTCGATATTTACCCATATACCATCTAGAAAGTATCCTACCTCATTAGGGCTAAACAATATTGGTTTAGGTCCCAGTGGTGTTGTTGGTGTTAACTTTGTGAATTTGGCAGGAGTTTGAAACACAGATGAAGATATTGTGGTCGGCGGAGAATCTACAAAAAATACAATTGAAAGTTCAAATAAAAAATTCGTGTCGGAATTGACGATGAATAGTAGTACAAATAAAGTCTACTTTAAAATACTTTCGCTAAGACAAAAAGGTCTAAGTAAGGACATATACTCCTTAGCTGATTTAGTAACGTGATTTTCACCGTCGGTCCAGTAGGTTAGACCGCTGCACCGGTATCACAGGACCGCAGGTTCGATTCCTGCCAGAGGGCCAGAATCCCAAAACATTAACATGCACTGACACTATTTTGGTTGCGACACCAGAACAAAAGAGATTGTACGCGCATCAAGGGGGAGGGGAGCTTAGCGGGGAGGGGTATATAGTCTCCTGAAATAGAAGTTGGAGAACGTAATATAAAGATGTGAGATATTGTGCTGTTGGAAATGCAAAACGAACAAGATGAATAACAATCTTGTTCAGAACGCAGGAAATGCGATTTCTGAAACTGACAATTTCCGAGGACCTATAGAGTTTGTCTAGCCCTTCCTCAACCAAACATCATCCGCGTCATGTATGACGTTCGTGTTCGTTTTACCAGTCACAAACACACTACCTGAGAACGAGCTGCTTTGCTTCATTAATTTCTGCATTCGTTTTTCAGCACTTCTTGATTCATCCTTGTTCTTTCTCTCTGCACCCTAAAAATAAATAACAGCACGTTGATGGCGAACTAGGTTGTCGACATATGAACATCATTTGTAGCTTGAAATCTTATAGTTCTTTAAACTTTATTGAGAGTCAACGAGAGTTGGCAAGCGAGAATTTGCATGACAGTTTCACAATTACTCTCATGGCCCGCTCAAACGACAAGAGTTGCTTGTGACTTGACTGGATGTTACCGCGGGTATCAAAAATTCTCATTAAAATTTGAACAAAATCAAAGTTCACGAGAGGGGATGAGAGTTGGCTATCAAACGGGAGAGAAAGATTTCAGCTCTCTTGAACTCGCATCCTCGTTTCATGCACCGGGGCTTTAAACATTAAAAATAATTGCCAATTACTGTGGCGAGAGAGGCCAATACTACTATCCTCTGCAGATGCGTATAGTTTAGCACGACGGCTATAGCTGTGTATGGTTATACAGACGGGCTGTATTCCCGCAATTTTTGAGGCATGCAGGTGATTTCCATTTCTTCTACTTCCGCGTCTTGAATTTCTCTGTACAAATAAGTCTTTGCAATCTGCAACAATGTAACCGTTTGTGCATTTGAAAACGAATCCCGTCAATCGAACCTTAGTAATTCCTTACATTTCTGGGTATAAATAAAGTGACATAATGCGCCAATACCACATATGCAAGTGCGCAACTTCCAAGTAACTATCGTTTTGTTTCTGCAGTCAAAACTATTGTAAGCAAACTCACTTTATCTCGGAATATCTTGATCTGACAGAACGCCCTGTGGATAGGCTCTGCATCCGCTACACCTATGTCTTCGTAAGTATCAATTTGAAGATGCAACGGAATGCCCTGGATCAACACAAATACATCAATGAGATAACACACATACATTTTTCTGCACAACTAGAAAAAGGCAATCGTAGCTGGTTGCGTGCTTGGAGAGTTGGAGTGGGAAACTAGAAACGAAATCTCCATCGCGCGAACTTGCATTGATAGTATGGTTTCGAGTGCAAGTTGGAAAATACATGCACGAATGAGTTTTTCAAAGACGATCAAAACTGCACGAGTTTGAAGGACGAGTGCAATATGAACGAAAACCGAGTGTTTGTTTTTCTAAATTGGTCGAGAAACTATACTACTGTATTACTACTAATAATGTACATGAAAACATTATCCGGAATAGCAGAACAACGTACTACAAGTTTTTAACTGTCAAAAGTCAAAACTTACTGTAAATACAAATGTCTTTTGCTTCGGCGCTTGTCACGTATTTCTTTTTTGGCACTGTATATTTCGATAAAATTGTACTCCTCTTAGCCAATCAGAATCGATATATATTACATGTATATTATTAGTAATGCTATTGCTTTGCGTTGTTTTGAATGCTTTCCATATGAACAGGGACCTCATTTTGTACTATATGCAATGCACATATTTCAGTTCTGCGATCTGAAAATATCCGGCACTGTACAATACACGTACCTTTACTCCTTTTTGCGAGGAAAAATCAGTGCTCAGACAGTTCATACGCAAAACAATCTATAATTGAAATGAACCAAAATAAGCCTACTGTATACGTAAGCAAAATTGGGTCTATATGGGAAGAACACACAAAGTGGAACAAAAAATATAATCTGCTTCCGGTTTCATATCCTGAAAAAAGAGGGAAGGTAGGTTGGAAAATATATGGGTTTTTTTACTTGACATTGGTCAGCATTTGTCACGAATGTGATCAATTTGCATTGCCGCAAAACATAAACATTTCAAGTAGAGCTGTGCGGTTCCAAAAATTTTATCTCGGTATCGGTTCCGGTTTTTTTGGAACAGAAAAACCTCGGTTCGGTTCGGTTTCGGTTATTTTCAAAAAAGAAGAACAGTACAAATGTATGAACTCATTTATGTATGATGTTTTCTGTGTTGGTGTTGTGTACTCAGGTGAATATGATATTTGTGATGTTACTCTGAGTGTATATCCACACCGGGCGAGCTTGAAAAATATGCCCGGCCACGGTGGGATTCGAACCTACGACCTCTTCCAACTGAGCTACGCGGTCAGGACGGTTCGAGTATGTGATATTTCGGAACAGAATCTAGTTCCTTCGATATCAATGTAATCTAGTAATATGATATTTTCTGTGTTGGTGTTGTGTACTCAGGAGAATATGATATTTGTGATGTTACTCTGAGTGTATATACACTCAGAGTAACATCACAAATATAATTTATGTATGTTTCGAGCATTTTTACTAAATAGATGAATTTATATGCCTTTGTAAGTTTGTATAAATCTCTGAATATTTTAAAAGAACAATTGGAATTTATTTAGGAACATGAAAAATTTCTTTTTAATAAGCAAGTGCACAACAATAACTATCACAACTAAAATATCAACTATTTGAGCACTTAGTAGAGTGCATATTGTGCACAAAGAGCCCAATCTTGTTATTTTCCAAACATTTCAACCTGCAATCAGGTGGGCGTTTGGCGGGCGTTAAACGGGAAATTAAAACCGAAACTACCGGTTCTTTTGCGCATAATTTTCGGTGCTAAAAAAAGTACCGGAAGAACCGAATTTTTCGGTTAACCGCACAGCTCTAATTTCAAGAAGTAATTTCTATGGAAAACGGACGCCATTTTGGCGCTACGTTGTATCATACAGTAAAGGCCGTTTTCCACTAGGCGAATTTTTTCGCGCGACGCGAAGCGAAAACCGAAATCCGGCAACGTGATTGGTCGGCGAAAAAATTCGCGGCGAAAAAGTAGGATCGCTTCCTACTTTTTATCTGTTCGCGCGAAAAAATTCGCCTAGTGGAAAACGGCCTTAAGCAAAAAAAAACAAGGGTCGCGATATGTAGGTATAGGCAAACAATCCAGCCACAGCCACCATTAAAAAAACTACATGAGAGTCATCAGGAAAAAGAGGGACGGTCGGGAAACCAAACCAGACCACAATTTTTTAGACCCAAGGGGGTCTTATTTTACTTTTACACAAATTTATACGCTTTCGCCATTTGAGTTGAAGTGAAAATGAAACCGAAAACTTTCGAGCCATGCATGGCTGCAGAAGTTATATGGAGCCATGGAGCAATACTACCTACAAATTCAAACTCGAAGAATCATGTGTAGGCAGTGGACCTACTGCATGAACCTGGATCTACAGGCTAACAACTCCAAAAAATCCTTGGAAACCTTCACATAAATTAAATCTACAAGCATGTTTCGAGCTTGGTTAACAGTACGCATTTCCACGTGGAAGCGGAAGAGTTTGGGTACGGTTCAGATTTCTTCCGATCATCTGTGACCGTAGTTAAGTCTTACGTTTCGGTCTTAGAAGCTGAATATTGAACCTAGGGATCATCCAGGGCAACGGACTGTGGCGTGAGGTCATACGCTCGTCTGGGGCATGCTCTCGTGGAAAACTTTGAGTTTTCTAGTGTTATCACAATGAAATTTAGTTTGGTTTTCGCTTTTATAATCTCTGTATTGAATGCTTCATAACAATATAATATTCATCAACAATATAGACTGTTTAGTCATGTTTTGCAGTTTTCAGTTCGACAGTTTCCCTAAAACTCAAAAACTCAAGACCCATACCTTGGCATTGAGTTTCGAATCCCAGTAAAACGCAGCTGCATTGTAAGCAATCTCATCCACGTGATCTTCAATACTTGCACATGACTTACGATCTAAACAAGAATATCGCGTTTTAACCTCGTAGCCAGGCTTATGTCTTCACCACTTCCTGTCTCTTCCGCTACATGCGAAAGGTAACCGAGAAGAGTCAATGCATGTTCACATACAGTACTTTACAGTCGATTTCAACTTACTTTTCACTCAAATGTTCCGAACTTCGTTCCGAACTTCGCAAATTCGTTGCCAAGTTCAAAAGTTCATAATGAAATTCACAAACGGGTTTGTAAGCTGGGCATTTGATTGGCTGGTTTGATTTAATAGCCTATCAGAGGCTTTGTTTACAAACCTGTTTGTAAATTTCATTATGAACGTTTGAACTTGGCAACGAAATTGCAAAGTTCGGAACAAAGTTCGGAACATTTAAGTGAAAAGTAAGCTGAAATCGACTGTAATGTATCAGTTACCAATATCAAATGCTCTCTGTTGAGGATTTGCCTGCTGAGCATGCCAGTATCGCCAATGTTGAATCTCAACATTTGGATCTTTCTCATCACGGAAAACCAAGTGTAAGATTGACTAGACAAGAAAATATCAATCTAGTTAGATGTGCGGGTACGAGAATTTGCGCGTTTACAGGTCCGACACCGGGTTAATATTATTAATATTACATCATTGTTATAACTTTTATTATTACTATTATTATTATTAAACACGCTAAAAAGATACCACGTAAATGTCAGTAGATTTCAAGCAAGTTCTCTGTATTTGAGAGTTTTAGGCGTCCGCCTTGTAATCGCTCGCACGTAGAATCAAATCCTCTGAATTCACGGACATCCGTAAGTTACCAGCGAACAGGTGTGAGTAACTGCCTGATCGAAAGTTAGGATGGGCCCTGGTCAGGATTGGGTCCGGGCAAGGTATTTTTACTTTTACTTTAAGAACCTGATATTGTATGCACGCATGCGCATATTATTGTCAGACGAATAGCGGTCATGTATGGGGAATCGGCGTCGGACATGGTCGGACGTGTAATTTAAGTTACTGACAATTACTGAATGTTGAGCATGATATGAAGAATTATCAAGCCCGAAGTTTGTGTTATCAACCGAAGTCGAAGGGTGAGTACGTAGAACGTACATAGGTAAGTTCTAAAATTTCTTTGTTCCGGCTAAGTCATTGTGTACCTTGTGGTCACGGTTAATAATTCTATTGTTTTACACACATCTTCTTAACTGGTTGATGCGTAGCATGCATGGGCACTTGTTTTGGCTACTGGTGCAGACGGTTTAAGCACAACGAATTATGATATTTTTATAACCAAGTTTCAAAAGATGTTTCTGTTTCATTATTGAGTCATTTCTAACTAGTTTTTAAACAGATTTGTGTACAGGTTCAAACCGCGTTCAACCTCCATCGACTTCTACCAATAAAAAACCGCGACTATACCGGCTCCTCCCTATATGATATCACTTATGCGTCTAAAAATTGTGAGCATACCTATTTGGTAAAATTTTACTATTGGGGGTGGGGTGGGGGCTATTAGCTACATAATAAACCATATCTGTACCTTGACTTGGGTATTTTCAGCATCAGCCGACTCGGACGGATTTGCTTCAAAATGGATTGAATAAAACTGGCCTGGAGAGAAAAGTAAATAGTCATTAAAATACTTAATTACCAAACTTTATATGTATTATACTGTACTTGGACCCGCTGTAATTGGCTTTAACGTATACGTAATCATTGTACTGAATTGCACAGCATTTAAGTGCATTCTTGGCCAAGCATTAAATAAAAATTAGTACTACATTAAATTAAAATTTAAATACGGAAAAAATGTTTTATATTTGATATTTGTGATGTTACTCTGAGTGTATATCCACACCGGGCGAGCTTGAAAAATATGCCCGGCCACGGTGGGATTCGAACCTACGAACCGGTGTGGATATACACTCAGAGTAACATCACAAATATCATATTCACCTGAGTACACAACACCAACACAGAAAAAAGTTTTATATTTGTTTTATAGCACAAAGAAATATAAAGAAATAAATTTTCTGTGTGACATGGAGTTATATCAACACGGCTCTTAGCCAATCAGCGTTCAGAATTTACAAATGATATATATTACAAACAGACTGTGCTACATTGTAACCCGATAGGTTCGTATAACAATTTCCTGAAGACTAAAAGCCAACTTACAAAAGCAATTGATAAGAATGTCGAGAACAGTATTAATTAAGAAAGTCACATGCACACTTACTCTTTAAAATAAACAAAAGTCAAACACTAAGAATCATTTGCTGTATATATAGTGCTTTCTTTTTTAATGAAGCTTAAGTTTAAAATTATGCTCGTCAAGCTGTCGTGGAAAAAATTATTTTAAACAGTGTGTTCTTGTTTCTGATTGGATCAAGACATCAAAGATGATATTAATTATATATAACAGAGGTGTACAAATGTACAACATGTACAACGTACAAATGTACAACATGTGCTATTCAAAAGAGCTTTGTTGTATAAACTCATATTTGCTCGCAAACAGGCCATGGAGCGAGAAAGGTATGTGCGCGCACACTTTTATACGCTATCTTTGACTTTACATACTATAGCTTTGCTTACTTGTTCTCGAAATACATGAATTAATCAAAAATCCGCAGTTCGTTCTTCAGTTTTATACAAATATTTTGGGAAACACGGGTGTGGTTTTTCATTAATATACTGTACATTTCGAAATTCGAACCGTGTTACTTCCTATAGAAATACTATGTGTGATAGGCTAATAACATAAACAAATTTGCTTGGATTTCATTGGGGCATGAACTCATTTGCATCGGCCGCGATGGATGACCATCTACATCCAGAAAGGGAAGGGCATGGGTGCAATAAATCGCACTCCTTGGGCTTGTTATACGTGCGCGATAATTTTTTATTGCGAATTATGCACTACAATTGTGTTGGACGTTTAGAAAGTCACTTGTGCTTTAAAATGTATATAATTATAATATATATGGTGTAGAGTTTTTATATTAAATATATTTTGCATTGCAGCTTATATAATCGAGGCATGTGATAAATCGTAATTCGTGATAAGCTAAGGGGTGTGCCAAGGCGTGCCTATATACCTTATATAGGGTATTACCATGGATAATAAAATAAATGGATAGGACTCTAGCTGACGTAAGCAAAAACAACCTAGTTGCAATCTGTGACGTCACGCGTATTGCAAAGTTCTCGGCATTCTTGTTGTTTCGCTATACTTTCCGCTTTAAAAGAGTAATATTGAAGCATAAACTGGTCTAATTGTTTTAAAAACATGCCTAAGCCACGACAAAGTATTCAAGGTAAATGTTTTTCGTCTTTGTTTTGTATTTTTTTACATTTGTAGCTACGAAATTGGCGTCCCCAATTTTAACGAATTTGGGATGCCTTTTTCACTGTTTAGTGCTTGAAATATTTGCTAAAATTGACTAGAAATACTTAGAGATTTCATCGTAGAATGGCGTAGTTACATGCATTCATTTGCTTTTTGACTAAAATGTTTAGCTGTATTATTGCTAAACATGCCGTTTTTGAGAATTTGGTTTGCAACTAGGTTTCAACATCCAATCACGCCATCAGCCCATTGAAAACATTAGGTCACGTCAGCTAGTTTCCTATCCATTTATTTCATTATCCATGGTATTACTAAAAGCACATGTACAATATCACTGTGTATATAACGCTGGTAAGTACAATGGTAAATGTCAAACCTTTATTTAAATACGTCAAAGAGTCTTCTCCTCGTCTTTGAATGATTGATGGCGGAGCTTCAAGTGTGAAACAATACCTTAATTGCGAAAAGGAAGTGATACTGAGTTTACATTCCCACTTCAATTCGGTTCAAGGAAAGCCAGCGGTCAAACGCGATTATACGGTAATGGAGGGGGAAATGTCTGCCAAAATAATGGGAATAACATGGGAAAAGCGTTTACTGTAGGAAACGGCTGAAGCTATGAAAGTATAGGGATTTTCACCGCTTTTTTACTCACGGATGTTGCTTGCAACATCTGTGAGTCTTTGTGGTTACTTGAGTGTGTGGTGAGTGTGGGGCAGTTACTAACAATGGGAAATGATCAGCCTGCTTTGCGCGCACTGTTTGTCTGCCAATCGGGCCTTTCAGAACCGGGAATCGGGCTGGAACACGCGTTTGTTCTTTTGATTTGGCAAAAGAAGCACGACAAATGGGTGAAATGGCAAAATTCGCACGGTGTCCGGTTTGCAAGAACAACTGCAACTGCTCTAATTCTTTCTGTCACTTTCATTTGATCTTATCTGTGGGTCGGCCTCAACGGCCTTTGATTCCTTTTGTCAAGACGAAGTGATACCGAGTTTACACTCACGCAATTTTCTTTATACACTTTTTGTTAGATCTTCGTCAAGACAATACTATTTCCAGCATTCGAGTGCAAACCGACACTACTATGGTAATGGCCAACAGGGATGGACAAGAGGGAGGTTTTCCAAGATAGTCCAAAATTTAAACTCAGAGTTCGCTTCAGTTTAGGGTTAACGCATAGATATCTTATATACACTAGATAGTGCATCTAATTATTCTGAAATTCAAAAATTGAAGCCGTGATTGCAGTCTCAGGTCGTTCCCATAAAATGAGAAGATTCGTATGTTTTCCATATCTTAAACAGGGAACTTAAACATTAACTTAACCCTATTCCAAATACGTTTTTAAACTATTCAAAGTTATGAAAGTTATTGTTGTTTTTAAGCGTTTATTTGCAAGTGGGAACGACCAACATGGCCGCCATCTATTCAAATGGGGGTAACCGCTGGAATATTCTTGGCTTCGATTTTACTAAAAGAGATGCGCTATCTAGTGTATATAAGATATCTATGGGTTAACGTTAGGGTTGTATAGGATTGGGGTTTGGTTTAGGGTATATAGATTGTTATAAGGGCCTGGTTGTTGATTCTTTCGCGTTCTAACAATCTTGATAAATAGCCGCCTTCTTGAAAACCTTCGTCTCGTCCATCTCCTCTAGCAACAACCGATGTTTAACGGCGGTGTTCAAGACAGGTGCAGTGGGTTGTAGGCTGGGGCGGTTTATCGGGTTTTTCAAAACCGGCTTCACGGTTTCACCTATATTGGAACCAGAAAATCGACCGAAGAATCGTATATCGCCATTCGTTCACACAATGTGCAACTGGAAAGCGACGAAGCTTGATCGGAATGCGGAAAGCCTGCAGCCAATCTTCTTTTCTTTTCGTTTATGTAGTTACAAAGTATTTTAGAGAAACAAGGAAAAACTGTAAAATATAGACCTTAGTATTATAAATCAGTCCTTGAAACTCAGGTCGGCATTCGGCAATGCCGACCTGCAAAGCGATATGTGTAGATTTAGGTCGGCAAAATTTTGCCGACCTACTTTCAAATACGTCTCGGCATTTTTTTCCGCGTACGCATCTTTCACATACGCGTTTTCAACAATGTTTTAATTATTAGGTTTTGATCATTAGTAATTTAGCTTGCGTAGTCAAATACGCTTTGCGAGTATCAAATTTACAAACATTGCAGTTTCATTGTTGGAAGGTGATACTTGAAACTTTGAAAAGTAAACATCGTGTTAAAATCATCGAGCTTCAAGGTTTAAGAGAAAGTATATGGTAATAAAGTAGTGTACGGTTTGCCACAACATTTGGTCACAACATGCACTGTTCGATTGGAGTTCATACATTTTGTTAGGCCCTAGTTGTTTTCTTTGCTATTGGCATTGAATGCAATTAATTGCTGTTTATAAATACGCGTATTTACAGCAAGCAAATTTTCATTTGGATATTGTCTATTTGATTTGAAAATATTTGCCGACCTAGATTGAGAATTATCGCTTTTAGGTCGGTCATTATTTTCCGCAGTCCGTTTTTCGTCTTTTGGGGGGTTTCAAGCGTCAAGATGGCGAACAAAAAACCGGTTGATCGTTCTTTTCGCGTCGGTTTTCGGTTTCGGTTTTTTTCTTGAAAACCACCCAAGCCTAGTGGGTTGAGACTAAAACTATATAGTAACTAATGAATTCTAGTTGTATTTGTTTTGGATGTAACAATGTGAAAAACAACTCAAGACTCTTCTACAGGAAGCTAATAATTACTGCAGGTACTTGTACAGTACAAAAGACTAGTCACTTCCACACGAAGGGCCATCGCTTGAAACGTCGACGTTTCTCTGCATTATAAAGATTATCTTTGCTGTGTTATATTCAGCTATCATTCAAAGGTTTTCAGAAATTATTGGGGAGGGGAAGGGGGGGGGGGGGTTGCCACCGCGCCGCGCCCCTTAATGTTCGATAATGATCAGCGAAGTACAAGTAAATAGGAAATTTCCGAATTACGCTCCAGTTGCCAAAAACAATAACGCCAATTAGTCGAGGATCGTGCTAAATCGTTATAGAAACATTACAACTTTGCGCGACTACCGCTACTATATTACCATTAACCAATCAGATGAATTTATTCTAACCAATCAAAAACGTATTAAACATGTGAGAGGTAACAGTAGTGGTAGTCAAATCACAACCCCTCTCGGCAGACATTCGACTTAAAACATTAAAACCATTATGCATGCAAGTTCGTTATTGAACATACTTCTCCTGTGCTGCAAAAAGTGTCTGTGGTTTCATGGATGATTCGTAGCAGGCATAGTTAAACCCCTGGTAAAAACATATAAAACGAAATAATTAGTACGCGCAAAAAGGAGATGAAAATGTTTCAACTACTACAAACTTTAAGATGCATACTGTACCATACTGCAAGATTTTACATGTCATAAGGATACTCCTGACACCAAGCGTCTATTCATATAATTTGCACACTACATGCATAAATTGAAAATCGTATTTGTCCATATAGGAGGGCCAAGAGATAGTTCAAATGGGCACAAAAAGATTGCTTAAAATTCAATCAATACAAATGAATTATATCACTGTGAAAATATTCTAACAACTGTCTTTGTAGCACTGATATGCGATGGATAAAAGCTTGCGAGGATTGCACTAGTAAGTGCGATCTCGAGTAGTGATCACAAACTTGCGGTCACACACATGACGTTTAGTCTCTAAAATATTGCATAAAAAGGAAGGAAAGTCTTTGACCGATATTATATTTGTTGATGTGCCGGTCTTTTGCATTTGTTTTTCAAAATCATTTTATCACAATATTGTTGCCTGCACGAGTATCAAAATTGTTTTGAAGTTTTCTTGTCGCTTTCAAATAAATTTTGGTTGCGAAGTTACTGTAGTTATAGCTAGTATGTGGATGCAAATAGGCAATAAAATATTCATTCCTTTTCAGTATTAAAGCAACTATACGTCATGTGTGTGACTGTACAAGTCTGGAATCACAACTCAAAATTGTAGTACGAGTCACGCAATCTTGTATTAAAATAGCGGTCGATGACTTTGAGTTCCGATGACTATATATAGTTGAGTTCAGTTGCGGTCTTGGAAATAACAATGAATGCAAACACAAATTAATATCAGCACAATTTGGAAAGTCATTTGAATCTTGGCAATTAATTTTCGAACCCCACGGTGAAAACTCCGCACTTGATTACACATTTCCAGTTCACTTTTTATACATTACTTTGGTTCTCCATTTAACATACGAGCCTCTATAGTCCAGGACTATAGGGATATAGGGTACATTTTTATTTACGTTGGCAAAACAGTTAGGTCGGACACCAATTCACTCGGGACGGACAAACAATAAACCTCATTATGTCGGACAAAATGTCCAGTGCATGGTTTCCTCTCAATACGTCGGACAATTTCACGAATGGGTCGGACAATGCCCGTGCATGGCCAATTGATATTTTAAGGTATGTTTATAAAGGCAGTTGTTAGAATATTTTCACCGTAATACAGGGATTCCACTAGAATTTTGAGCACAGTAGGGGGCGTTTCGAAAGAACTACAGGCGGCTATGTGGTGTAGAAAGTACGGCTCACCAAGGGAGTGGATTTCGAGAGCATCCCCCGTAAAGATTTTAAAATTTAGACCCTGTGAGATGGCATTTCCAGCCATTTTGGAAAGTACTTTTGGAGCAAAATTTATATTATATATAGGTCGGATACCTCTCTCCTGACATTTCTATGGTAACGAGAAAATATTTTGGTTTATAGTTTTAGAAAATAATACGATATTCAACGGTATATTCAAATGATAGTTAGACATCGAAAATTGTCGGGTGCAAGCTTCTATTGGAAACCGTGGTAATATAATAATTTTTTATGTACTATTTATAACATGAGCAGGAGTGCTTTTAATTATCAGATATAAAACACGAGAGCGCAGCTCGAGTGTTTTAAATGTCTTAAAAAACGACCCATCTGATGAGTTCATTGGCGAAGTAATTATTTTTAAAAATAAACGTTGTCTAAGCAGAGAAAATCAAAGCTAAAGTTTATGTAAATGAATATGAATTTTTATCACATATAAAACCACCGACACGGTAGTGATTTCCTTTGCCTTTTCCTCTTGAATCATTAATGAGTTTTTTAATGAATTTTAAACAGTTTTAGTCTTTCTTGTGCCAGGTACAACTATACTCTATGTCTTGGGCCTACGATTTGTTACGTATATGTTCATGCATTTTTCACAGCGGATGCAAAAATCCGACCCGCTCTGAAAGGCTCCTCAGCCAATCAGATTGCTTCATTCTGACTGATAAAAAATAAATACATGCATGTATCTGGGACGCTAGCACTCTACCTCGCTTCGAAGAACCACAGGTGAAATATCACTGGATGCAGGTGAAACAGAGCTTACAACAGCAGATGCCTGACCTTCACTCTTTCTCCTGCAATCTTGCGGACTGTAACAGAAAATGATGTAGATCGTAGATTTATGATACTGTTATCCTATAGACTTGTCACAAGTCGATCATGGGGGAGGGAGCGCGCGACACGAGCAACGAAGTCGGGAGTAGAAGGATCTGGAAAGGACTTTGGAAAGTCTAACTATATCCATATAGTATGAAAATTGGATTTCCATACTATTTTCAACAAAGATCCATGCTATTTCCATAGTAACGATTTTGAAAAAACAATTCCAGTGTAAGTGCAATAATTGCTGAGAAAAGCCTGTAGCCCCTATGTTCATCATACATGTATATACCAAACTGAGCACAAATTCACATCTCATAAACCGATTTGAAAAATAGTTGTCACTCATTTTTCTTCCAAAATTAATTTCAAGCGAGGTAATCACCGACACTGCCGCCTTATAAAATAGACCAACATTTTTACAGAATATAAAATTAAAATTATAATACCATGTGTTCTCTTTGAGAACTTTAACGTTAAAAATACCGGAGTTAATTTGTGGTAGATTTAGCAAACAAGTCTGACTAGACTCCTTTATGTGTTTATGCAATAAAAATAGTTAACTTCTAGCACGAGTTGTGATGTGGGTCGTTATAATATGTAAATTATGCATTTATGCAAGGTTCAATTTCATTGACCAATCAGAAGCAGTCTGTTGTCAGCGGGCGGGAGTTTGCCATTTGCTGTGCTCACGGGCTGTGCTCACTTGCATACTGCTTCTCACACTGTGAACTCGATTTTGGTTTTCTATTTTGATTTTTCTGGGGATTCTTGTGCTTCGTTTGGGTTTTGGCTTCTATCTTGGATGCCTCGGCTCACTAATAATAGTCTGTCCTGTTGTTCTGGAACGGATTTATCGCTTTCGCCAGTCCATAGCGATGCTATTTCGTCGGCTTCTACATCAATTGCATCGGCGGGTTTGGTTTCGTCATTGTCGGGTTTAACTTCGCCAACTTCGTCACTTTCCCCTGTTGTGCTGCCTTCGGTGTCGTCGGCCTTCAGTGCTTTGCCATCGCCGGTGGTGACAAGTCTTGGGACGACTTCGTGGTCTGCTTCCGTGCCGTTTGCTTCACCAAGTTTAGCGTCTCGTACATGGCTTCCCGTCCCCATACCTGCCACAGAATCCTTGGCCTACGTCTAGTGTCGTTCCCACCACCGCAAGTCCGTCAATAAATCCGGGCGTTTTGTCGAATTTTACGTTTCCTTGTTCTTCGACATCGGCCAATTTTCAGCCGCCATTTTGTTCCCTCCCAGTCTCCTCCGGTGGCGCCCGTCCTGCTCCGTCCTTAAATCCCATCCTCCAGCAGGCGTCTACTTCCCAACATTCCATCCTCCAGCAAGCGTCCACTTCCCTGGATCCCATCCTGCAGCAGGCGTCCATTTCCCCGGATCCCATCCTCCAGGAGGCGATTTCTCAGGCACAGGCTACACTCCAGGCACAAGCTTTGCTGCAAGCTCATGCTCAGGCACATTCGAATGCTGTCGCTCAGGTGCACGCCCGTGGTCAAGAGTTGGCATCTGCTTCAAGGCTTCCTGCTGGCCCGGTTTTGCCGTCTGGTGCACCGTTGTCGCTTCAACAGCTGCCACAAACTCCGCCAGCTGCAGGTTTGGCTGCCCCAGGTATGTTGTTGCCTTTAGCTCATACGCAACTTGCCGCTTTTGTGGTTGGCCCTGGGTTTCTCCCGGTGCCTGGTAAGACGGTGACGAACATTATTTCTGGTCTGTATATTAACTTGGCCACACTGTTAGCAAAACCGTCTGACATGCGGTCGCCTTCGCCCTTAATTTACATTGATGGGCAGGTAGTGGTCTCTCAAGCTTCCAAGCCGGCCCGGCGCCTGACCGATATTTCTCAGTGGCTGCAGGCGTTTGCAATATATATGCTATTTGCCCAGCCGCGCGGCTGACTTGATTCGTTACCAGCTGCTCATTTTACGTATGTATACTCAGTTCGGCGGCTCAGCTTGGTACAATTATGACGAAGCCTTTCGCCGTGACGCCGCAGCACGTCATGTAGTTGATTGGTCCGGGATGCATGTCGAATTCTGCAATTTTCACACCTCTGCTTCGACACGGGTCTCTCAACCTTCCCTTGCTCCTCTCTCACGCGAAAGTATTGGAGCTTCATTTGGAACAACTATCTGTCGTTCTTGGAATTGGGGACGCTGTGTGGCTCCGGCCCAGCCGCCTCCGCCTACTCACCGTCACCCTCACCAAATGGTTTGCCACCTCTGCCTGCCCCCAACGTCCTCGTGATCGTTAGTCCTCCGTCGGATAAGTACAGCTTTCGTAATTTGTGACTGCTGCTGTGCTTTCGCATAGTTCTTTGCAGTGTAGGCTATTCTGGCCTTAAGCCGTTGCTAGCACTGTTTGACTGCCACTGGCATTCTTTGTTGCAAGGATACTGCTTGTGTCCTGCCTTTTGTTAGCATGAGCGTTATCGTGGCCGTACCTGCTTGGTACGATATTATATTTGTTTAAATTGCTAGTATTGTTTATTGGTAAAGGCACTGTTTGTTGCACAGGGCACTGCTTGTGCCCTGCCATTGTTAGCTTATCGTGTACGTACCTGCTTGGTACAATTTATCTTGTGCTAGCATCGTTTACCTGATAGGCACTGTTTGTTGCACGCGGCACTGCTTGTGTCCTGCCCTTGTTTGCTGATAGTGTACCTGCTTGGTACAGTATATCGTTGCATGCGTGTATAGATTGTCAACATGTCATTACTTAGCTCAAATGTGTGTCGGTGGTTTTATTTATTTATTTATTTATTTCTTCTGTGCGGTAATGTCTCCCCCCCTAGCGGTTTTTTTGGGTTTTTTTTTAGCTCGTCCACCGCTTGGCCTCAATATTCCGGTTGCTGCCGTAACCCCCCTAATCTTCGAGGAGTTTACTCGGGAATTGGCTGCCTATCCCCTGTCTAAAAGGCGCTATGTCTTAGACGGGATTCGGTTGGGCTTTCGTGTTGGTTGGGAGCCTGATAGGGTATCTTTGCGTTCTCGGACATCTAATATGCGCTCTGCCTCTGACCATCCAGAAGTCGTGGATGCTTACCTGTTCTCAGAGTTAGCGGCCAGATGCGTGGCAGGCCCGTTTACCAGCCCTCCGGTTCCGCTCCTTCGTGTCAGCCCCTTTGGTGTCATCCCCAAGAATCACCAGCCTGGCAAGTGGCGCCTTATCCTCGATCTGTCCTCGCCGGCTGGTCACAGTGTCAATGACGGTATCCCCAAGGATCCTTACTCGTTGCATTTTGTGAAGGTTGATGACGCCATTCGTGCTTTGGTCGATATGGGCCCCGGGGCGCTGATGGCAAAGTTCGACGTCAAAGCAGCTTATCGTAATATCCCGATACACCCTGATGATCGTTACCTCTTAGGTATGAAATGGCGTGATCGTTTCTACGTTGATCTCGTGTTGCCATTTGGTTTACGTTCGGCCCCGTTTATCTTCAATTCGGTTGCTGAGGCCGTGGAATGGATCTTGGTGCATAATAATGCTGTCAGCCCGCTGTTCCATTATTTGGACGATTTCTTAACCATGGGTCCTGCCAATTCGTCCATTTGTCAATCCCACATGGATAACGCTTTTACCGTGTTTGCCCGCTTGGGTCTCCCTTTGCATTTGCAAAAGTGCGAGGGCCCGTTCACTGTTTTGGTGTTTCTCGGTATCGAGTTGGATTCCGTACAGCAGTTAGCTCGTTTGCCCCGTGACAAGGTCGATCGCATCCTGCGGCTTCTCCAGTCGTGGTCTCGTAAGAAAACGTGTACGCGTCGTGACCTGGAGTCCTTGATCGATCTATTATGCTGTTTTCGTCATCGCGACCATCCCATTCGCTTGAATGTTGAGTTTCGTAGAGACCTACAATGGTGGCTGTCTTTTTTCTTAGAGTGGAAAGGAGTGTCCTTTTTTCTTGCGCCCGCGGTGTCCCAGTTACCTGATCTAGTTATTTCATCCGATGCGTCAGGTTCCTGCGGTTTTGGTGCCCTATGAGTTTTGCAGCTCCTGTTTTTTTCTGTCTACGCGCATGTCCATTGCCTTTCTGGAGTTGGTTCCCATTGTCGTCGCGGCGCATCTTTGGGGCCATGCGTGGTCTCGCCTTCGCGTTCAGTTTTTGTGCGACAATCTGGCGATTGTTAATGTCCTCAATTCTGGCACGTCCAAGTCGCACGACATCATGCATCTGTTGCGCTTGCTCACGCTTGAAGCCTGCCGCTATAATTTTGTTTTCTTGGCTGCCCACACCCCTGGCAGAGATAATTCTGCCGCTGATGCCTTGTCTCGTTTGCGTTCACTGGAGTTTCGTCATGTGGCCCCTCATTCCGATCTTCTTCCCCTTCCAATCCCACCGTCGCTGTTGTCGCACCTGGTACCGCCTCCTTGATCAACCAGTGTTTTGGTTTGTTGGCCCAAGGTTTGGCTCCATCCACTCGCCGTGTCTACGCTGCTGGTCAACGCGCCTATTTCCAGTTTTGTTCGACTTTTGACCTTCCGTCTTTTCCGTCGTCGGAATGGCTGTTGATGTTATTTGCGACCTGGCTCGCTCAGACTCGGAATTTAGCTCTGTCTTCTGTCTCGTCGTATATTGCTGCTGTCCGTTCTTGGCACATTGACCTTGGCGCACCAGATCCCACCCGCGGGGCGACCAGATTGGCCAGATTATTACGCGGCATCCGCCGCTGTCGTTCTTCGCCTGCATTGTCACGTCTCCCTGTTATCAATCGACTGATGGGTGTACTCCAGTCGGCGCTCTCCGCTCCGGGGTTTGACCATGTGATGTTTTGGGCTGCATGTTCCACAGCTTTTTTCGGTTTTCTACGTGTTAGCGAGTTTACCTGTGCCGGTGTATACGTCCCGTCATGCCATTTGTCTTTAAGCGACATTCAGTGGGATGCTGCCGGACACTATCGCCTGTTTTTAAAGTCGTCCAAAACGGATCCTTTTCACAAGGGATGCACGGTCTTAATTGGGCCTTCGGGTCACCAGATTTGTCCTGTTGCCGCGCTGTCTCGGTATTTGGCCATCCGCGGTTCGTTCCCTGGTCCTTTGTTTTTGTGCGTCACTGGTGCGCCTCTGTCGCCGTCTCTGGTTAATGCTTGGCTCCGCTTCATTCTCAAGGCTGCCGGTGTTCCTGGGAATTATTCTAGCGACAGTTTTCGTATTGGTGCGGCTACTTCGGCCGCTCTGGCGGGTGTTCCGGACCATGTTATCAAGATTTTGGGTCGTTGGTCCAGTGACTGCTACTTGCGCTATATTCGGACACCTCCCCACATCATTCTCCAAACTGCTCGTCACATTGTTTGAGACTTGTTTGGGGTTGGGGAACGCCTTTGGAGTGGGATTCGTGCCTCGAATCCCCTTCTCCAGCTGCGCTGGAGGGTGGCGTTGGAGAGGCTAATTCTCGGCATCATTGATATTAGTCAAGTCGGGATGCTGGGATGGCTGAAAGTCTCTTCTACCGAGAAGACAGCTGCGCAGAATGGAGTTCATTGTAAGCCGGCTAGCCGAGTAAACTAAGCAGCCGGAACCTCTCCAACAGAGCTACACCCTCCAAAGAATTGCTTGCTCAAGCTCGAGTGCGTTAGATGTTAAATGTGTTTATGCAATAAAAATAGTTAACTTCTAGCACGAGTTGTGATGTGGGTCGTTATAATATGTAAATTATGCATTTATGCAGGGTTCAATTTCATTGACCAATCAGAAGCAGTCTGTTGTCAGCGGGCGGGAGTTTGCCATTTGCTGTGCTCACGGGCTGTGCTAACTTGCATACTGCTTCTCACACTGTGAACTCGATTTCCCACCCACCCGATAGTGTTTCTCCCTTGACTGCGGTGGCGCCGGCTGCTTGCCGGGTTTTTGTTTTCAGGCTGCTTGCCTGTGCTTGCTGGCTGGTTGCCGGTCCCATGGGCTGCCTGCCTGCCCCCCCCCCTGGCTGTTTACTCGATCTCGGGCTATTGTCCCCTCCCCGTGCGGCTGCTTGCCGGGTGTTCGGCTGCTTGCCGAGGTGTGTATCTGTGCATCAGCATATTTAATTTTCGTGATTTGTTCGTCTCCTTGTACGTGCGTTTGTCCCCTCACCATTAGTCCTTTTGTCTGTCCGTGAAGTGCTTATTCTCTGTTGTGTGTGTCCTTGGCACAGTGTAAATGATGGGGGTAGTCCTTTTTGTCATCCTTGCTAGCAATGTCCGTGTTGTGTTCGTTATTTGCATTATGCCGCACCCGCTCGTCGGGCTTGCTCTCCGGCTAGTCCGGGTGATTTCTTTTAGATTGGTATCCTGCGTTATCCAGCGTTTTTTGGTTTCCCTTTGGTCGGTAGGTGCTATAGTTCGTTGTGCTCGGCTTTGTATGCTTACCAGGTAAGATTTCTCGTACGTTCATGTTACTATTTTATTTAATTCCATTTCCACCTGTGGTGTGACGTTAGCTCTGTCCTTGGAGAGGCTAATTCTCGGCATCATTGATATTAGTCAAGTCGGGATGCTGGGATGGCTGAAAGTCTCTTCTACCGAGAAGACAGCTGCGCAGAATGGAGTTCATCGTAAGCCGGCTTGCCGAGTAAACTAAGCAGCCGGAACCTCTCCAACAGAGCTACACCCTCCAAAAGAATTGCTTGCTTAAGCTCGAGTGCGTTAGATGTTAATGCCTATTTAGTTTTCGTATGTTTACAAAATGGTAGCGATGAATCTATTCGTCACAACGAGCAATGTTAATAAATATACCAAGCGAAGTAACCACATGCCCGCGTTACTATGCGTTGTTATGTTCGCTATTTGCATAAACCTACGGTAATTACACGATCATTAGCGTTAAGATGCGTACAATGTACATCATAATAGGGATATTGAAGGATAATACCGGGCTATTATAAGCGTGGGCACAGAGCGCGGGTATAAAATAGGCAAAAGCACATGATTTCATTTTTTGAACACATTTATTTCTTTAAGTACTACAAGTTAATAATTCTTGTCTGTATAAATATATTATCCACTTAAGAGTTTTATCCCGTTTTTGTTTCTAACTTTAACCGCTCCTTTGAACCATCATTCATTTCTGTATTGTCCACGTTCTTTGCAGGTTTTGTATTCGATTTTGCTCTCTTCCTGGAGGATTTTGGTTGACGGATGGGTATATTCTTTATCCCGCTTTTATTCAACTTTGACTGCTTTTTACTGTTCCCAATTAATCTGTACAACTCTGCTAAAACATTTTCTAAGTCTAAAGGAGTAAAGCTGTTGGCTTAGCACGAATAAGATAAGGTTGTCTTTCTTCGGAAGAAAGTTCATGAACGTCTGCCAAATGGTTTGCCAATCTTTTTAAAGCTCGCTTGTCGCAGATGGGACAATCTTTACACTTCCGAGGCATAATGTCAAATGATAAATGTCAACAGATTTCCTAACATTATATAGTTGTGGCCCCAAAGGCCTTTTTGAAGGTTTGCCGGGACTTGGGAGAGGGTAAGAGAAATGGGTTAGGGGAAAATAGCTACCACACGGAATCGTATTTTATTTTATTTTTATAAACCAAACACAAACAACCATTAAGAGACGCAGGATCAGTTTCCACTTCGTTGACAGTGTTATACGAATTCTCAACATCACTCTCTGATGTAGCACTATCAGAGTCTGCAGCCGTTCTCATTTTTTTCATCTTTACACTGAAATCTGTAGTAGGTTTCCAACAGTATTGTATTTCCTTCGTATATTGTTAGGTTGAAACAACTCCAGCCACAACCAACCGGCGAATGATCAATTTTTTGAACAACATTACATTTTATGAAGTGGCCCTAAGGGCCTTTCTATGGCATTGTGTCCCGATTGGTGATTGGCAGGGATACTTCCCACCAAGCCTCCCCACCAATAGGATTCTAGAGAATCGGGCCTCAAGGCCATAGAAAAGGCCCTTGGGTCCAATGCGAAAAGTGACTCCACGGGCCTTTTCTATGGCCTTGTGGTCCGATTGGCTGGGATACTTCCCACCATGAGGGTTCTATAGAATCGGGCCACAAGGCCATAGAAAAGGCCCTTGGAGCCAATGCGAAAAGTGTCCCTTCCCAACCAATCATCAATCGGAACACAAGGCCATAGAAAAGTCCGTTAGGGCCACTTTTCGCACCGACCCCAAGGGCCTTTTATATGGCCTTGTGGCCCGATTCTCTAGAATCCTCTTGGTGGGGAGGCTTGGTAGGAAGTATCCCAGCCAATCGGGCCACAAGGCCATAGAAAAATCCGTTAGGGCCACTTTTCACATTGGCCCAAGGGCCTTTTCTATGGCCTTGTGGCCCGATTCTCTAGAATCCTCTTGGTGGGGAGGCTTGGTGGGAAGTATCCCTGCCAATCACCAATCGGGACACAAGGCCATAGAAAAGTCCCGTAGGGCCACTTCACAAAATGTAATGTTGTTCAAAAAATTGATCATTCGCCGGTTGGTTGTGGCTGGAGTTGTTTCAACCTAACAATATACGAAGGAAATGCAGCACTGTTGGAAACCTACTACATATTTCAGTGTAAAGATGAAAAGAATGAGAACGGCTGCAGACTCTGTACCCACGCTTATAATAGCCCGGTATTATCCTTCAATATCCCTATTATGATGTACATTGTACGCATCTTAACGCTAATGATCGTTTAATTACCGTAGGTTTATGCAAATAGCGAACATAACAACGCATAGTAACGCGTGCATGTGCTTACTTCGCTTGGTATATTTATTAACATTGCTCGTTGTGACGAATAGATACATCGCTACCATTTTGTAAACATACAAAAGCTAAATAGGCAATAATACGAACAAAGTTTGTAACATTGATCTCTCTGTAGACTTGTTCAAGGTTTAGTGATCATTGTATTTATATGAAACGATAAAGTTTGCTTATCAATATCAATATCAATATCAATTTAATTTCGTTTCAACTCATCAAAAATTATGTCTATGTTATCCATTGACTGTACTTGGATCAAATGTTTGGAAAATTTTGTAGCTACGCTATGCCAACATTAATCCCTCTATTGTATCACACACGTGAAGGGACGCTAAAAAATGCCTAGCAGGCCTTAAAATATCTTTTCCAGGGCCGTCTGACAAAATGTCCGGTGACGTTGAGTTTGGGTCGGACATATGTCCGATGACCTTCAGTTCATGTTTGACTCGGAAATAAGTCTGAATGACCCAAATGAATAAACAGTAAATGTTGTAAAAATATTAAATAATTTGTTTCTTTCATACTTATTTCCAAGCTAAAATTAACTTGCTTTCCAGAACAGCAGTATCAAAAAGACTTCGACAACTTAAGCCCGTTTTCCACTTCACCATTTCGCTCGCTGCCCCGTGCTCGACTACATTATAACAACGTTTCCAGTTGACCTTTTATACAATAGTACTCTGATTTTCCATTTAACACACAAGTTTCTTGTCCTGGGCTAGGGTACATTTGATTTACGTTGGACAAAGCTACAGTTCGGTCGGACACCAATACACTCGGGTGAGTCGGGTCGGACAAACAATAAACCTCAGTTTCACTTAGGTCGGACAGAATGTCCGGTGGTTTCCTTTCTACGTCGGACAATTTCACGAATGGGTCGGACAATGTCCGTGACCGACCGATATTTTAAGGCCTGCCTAGTCAGCAAGTTTTGCCCGATCTTGTCCAAGCTTGCGCGCGTGATGTCTGCATATATTAAGTGAACAAACCCCACATGAGATCCACCACCTCACACCACCTCATTCTATGCTAATGATAATGCGCCACCTCATTCTATGCTAATGATGATGCGCCACCACCACACTCCACCACAAAAATAAGGGTCGAAAACCACCTACATTACTACTAGCATGGGTGTAGCTAAACGTAAAACATAGTAATTTGCCCTTAATAAATGCGGTTGAAAAGCCTGGGGTAAAATTGAAACATATCTTATGTAAATTTCTTACTTGCAGCTTCATGTGGAGGAGTTGTTTTACTATACTACACTTGCAATACTCACCAGAACCAGTTGTTCCTACTCCTTGGGAACGTGTATTTTTGAGTTGTTGTTGTTGCCTCTGGTATTTTTGCTCAGCATGAACAAGCTATAGTGAAAACATTTTTTATGATACAAAGATTAATCTTATACCCGAGAAACAATTTTGATTTAATTGATCATTTCATGGCATCCTTCGTCTCACGCTTCGTCTCATTTGGATAAAATAATATACTCACTTGATTCTTTTGATCGATCATCTGTTGTCGGAGATCCGTTTCCTGTTCTCTTGCAATTCGTAAATTACGGGCAGCACTAATCATTTTTTCATGATTCTTAACAGACTCCACCTACAGTAAGAGTCAAAATGACCTGATTATACCCAACTTGAGCAATATCATTATTTTGCATGTTACGGATTCATATCGCGCATTTGCGCATATATATATATATATATATATATATATATATATATATATATATATATATATATATATATATATATATATATATATATATATATATATATATATATATATATATATATATATATATATATATATATTCTGGAGCTCAGCTACATTTTGCATACTGACAACGTGAACAGCAAAAGGAATGCAGAGCTTTGTTGTCTTGTTTGAATGTTATAAGTTCTACTGTTCCAGATGCTCTCCAGTGCATGGCAGGTAATAGATGCGTATATTTTACCTTCTTTCTAACACGATCCACACGCTTGGTCAGCTGTTCTTGTTCATCTTCCATGTTGACAATATCCTTATAGTAACGAGAATAACATGACAATAATTTAGCTCTGTTATAAGTTCCTTAGTTTATATTTCAGTTAAAAATCTTTCAACATAAATTTGTACATCTACTGTATTGCAAATTTTCAATTGCAAACGCTTAAATTGCGTCAACAAACGCAACTTCCGATACTCTATTATTCCTGGAATTATTTATGCTTGGAATTATCTATGCAAAAGCAATTTCCGTGATCGTAGTTACAACGGACATTATATTAAGGTTCGTGTCCTTTACTGAATTTTGACAAACCTTTTTAATTTCACCAGTGGAAAAGCCAGATGTTTTCAACCGTTCTAATTCTTTGTGAAATTCCTTAAATTGCTCCATGAGTTCACCGTACTAAAAGAAAAATTTAACGATCTTGGTTACCTTGGTTAACTTGAACCTTATACGTGAATTGTACTAGAGATACATGACAGTTAGCAAAGTCTAGTTAAAAATATTATAAAACTATTATTAAAAATATTATTATATTCGTCGTACATGAGCTCAGTTGGCATAGCACTGAACTAATAATTCAAAGATTGGTGGGGTCGAAACCCAGTCACACTCCATCGATTGTTCTGCTTATATACACGGTCCTATACACGATTGTTCGGCTTATAACATGCGCCTAAACACGATTGTTCGGCACAATCTGCCTATACATGATTGTTCGACCTATACACGATTGTTCGGCCTATACACGATTGTTTGGCACAATCTGCCTATATACACGATTTACTGCATGGATGTGGGTGGGGGTGGGGCGAGGCGGCACTCATGACCGATACAACTTGGCACCAGAGCTGGCAAAGCACCCCCTCCCTACCAGATCATGCTGGATCCATCCCTGTACACGATTGTTCAGCCTATACATGATTGTTTGGCACAATCTGCCTATACACGATTTATTGCATGGAGGTGGGTGGGGCGAGGCGGCATACATGACCAAGGCAGACCGACACAACTTAGCACCAAAGCTGGCAGAGCACCCCCCTCCCTACCAGATCATGCTGGATCCATCCCTGTACATGATTGTTCAGCCTATACACGATTGTTCGGCACAATCTGCCTATACACGATTTCTCCGCTTATACACACTCCACGTTCTGCTCATACACGGTTTTGATAATCCACATGAGAATATTATCACTCATAAGCATAAAATGAAACATGGTGAATCTTTTCGCTGTATGAACATGACATTCTATAGCATTCCACTTTAATTTTCAAATCAAATAATGATAAACTCAACTTACCGTTTCATTGAGTTCAGAAATGTCTTGATCAGCCAGTTGGTCAGGTGGTATATCAATACGGACTAAATATCGAGCTAAGTAAGCTCGTTTTTTGAGATCATCCATGTTCTGGAAGAGCCATTGGAGAATCGGATATATCACAGGTTTTTCACCTTGAACCAATCCTTGTCTGAATGCATTCCTGTAAGACAAGAAATGCTAAAATATTATGCTACACTTACAATTTCATAAACAATATATATTATGTCAATTGAAAACGAATTAAGGGACAGTCTATACATGTTTCTGCTTTACCGGAGTAACCCGGACGTCATGATTCACGCGGAAAGAAGGATGTATGTGAAAATAAATAACGGTTCAAATAATTCAGAAAAATTGATTTTATTAATTGTTCAATTTGTATTAATGTTGAACTTTCTCTTTATGCCAAGTGATTACTTATTTCGAAAAATCAAAACCAACCCGTCAACCCTGACGTTCTATTCAATACGCTACATCGGAAACAACATCCTAATTATGTATCCAATTCCAGCAGTGGGATCATGCGAGTATGCATGTAGGCAGCCCCTAAATCATATCATACTGCATCAAAACACGATGTTACAGGAAATACTTGGTATTTTGAAACAACTTGTGACAGTTACTCACATGTGACATTTCTACTTACGGATTATCTGCACCTGTAGTAGGTTTGTACTTGAGTACACGAAGAAATGTCAGCATACGAACAACCATCGACTCAGGATCTTCTTCTCGAATATCCAATTTGTGCTGAAAAATCATTTTTAATATCATTACACACCTGAGCTGCATGCTAACATTATTTCGACTTTTGAGATTTTAAAATTAATTTACTGCATACTGTATACACTAATTTTTATTGCGCTATTGAATTACCAATGAATATATATTGTATGTATAATTACGATAATCATCCTCTGTACTTCGCCTACATACAGTGCCCTTATCACTTTGGATCAACGTGCACCACTCACTGGAGCGTAGGTTCGAGGGCCTATATGCAGGGTCGCCGAGAGGAGGGGGGGGGGGCAAATTGCCCCGGGCCCTCAGGTTTTGGGGGCCCCTAGAAATTTTTGCTGGGCCCCAGTCATTTTTTTGGGTTAAATATTTCCGCGCAAAGGGTAAGATATTTGGGTTTTCCGCGCAAAGTTCCAAAATTTGGTATGAAAAATTGAGGTAAAGAAAGTTGCTGGAAAGCAATTGCAACGTACTCGTCCGGAAAATTTTTTTCCCTAAAAAGTTGTTCTCCGAAGAAATTTTGGATAGGGACCCCTAACAAAATTTGCGCCGGGCCCCCGCCAACCTCTCGGCGGCCCTGCCTATATGTAGTTGCATTTTCCGCAACTGCACTTGGTTAGGGCGTTCTTCGCTATAGAAGATTTTCAGAAATCTACAGATATGTTTTGCATTCACAGGGAGAGCAAGTAACAAATCCTGTTCAAACCAGTATAGTCCAATATCGTCCAACATTTTTTGGTCTATTCCAACACCAGCCAACATTGTCCAACAGATCTAGGATGATGTTGGAGCTGGAATGGCTTGACCGAGGGCCTTAATATTTATAGTAATGTTAACTACCTGTGGGTTAATTTCAGCAAAAACATCGTTGAGAATTTGAAGCAAAGTTAGAGGGTTCAATGAGTCAAAACTGCAAAATATAGAATAAAATTATAATATTATGTGTTTATTACAGGATATTTTCTTAGAATCATTATCAAAATATTTCTAATATTTTATATCTGCACCGATGAATGAGTACAATAGCAAGGGTTGTAAGTAAATAATGGAAAAGAAATATACTTAACAGTTTAATTCGTAACGAAGAATTATGCCATACGTATTGAAAACTACCTACCCTATACCTCAAACTTGAATATGAAACACCCAGCATGCACAGATCTTTGTAATATATGAACGATTATGAGTATTTTTACTGAAATATTGGCTCAATTTCCATAATCATGTCACCTTCACATTCAGCAATTCGTACTCTTAAACTACTGTAGCTATCTCTTATTGCAGCAATTCTAGTTCCATGAAACCTAATCCAATTCTAATTGACAATGTACACTAATTCTAATCCCAATCTTTCTAGAATTATTATGGATATATCATATATACAGGGTGTATAAAAAAAAACTGAACAGACTTGAAATTGCTCTTAATTTCGCAAAACAGCTACTAGTATCCAGTTTTTTTATGTACATACTAGCTTCTTTGGGTACTTATAATGTAGAAAAAAGAAACAAATTCTATTTTTTTTCTCAAATTTTG